GTGGCCAAAGTATTGGAGTTTCAGCTTCAATATCAGTCCTTCCAATGAACACCCAGGACTGATCTCCTTTAGGATGGGCTGGCTGGATCTCCTTGCAGTCCAAGGGACTCTCAAGAGTCTTCTCCAACACCACAGTTCAAAAGCATCAATTCTTCGGCGCTCAGCTTTCTTTATAGTCCAACTCTCACATCTATACATGACCAACGGAAAAACCATAGCCTTGACTAGACTCTGGACCTTTGTTGGCAAAGTAATGTCTCTGCTTTTTAATATGCTGTCTAGATTGGTCATAACCTTCCCCCCAAGGAGTAAGCATCTTTTAATTTCATGGCTGCAATCACCATCTGCAGTGATTTTGGAGCCCAGAAACATAAAGTCAGCCACTGTTTCCACTGTTTCCCCATCTATTTGCCATGAAGTGATGGGACCGGATGCCATGATTTTCATTTTCTGAATGTTGAGCTTTAAGCCAACTTTTTCACTCTCCTCTTTCACTTTCATCAAGAGGCTCTTTAGTTCTTCTTCACTTTCTGCCATAAGGGTGGTGTCATCTGCACATCTGAGGTTATTGATATTTCTCCTGGCAATCTTGATTCCAGCTTGTGCTTCCTCCAGCCCAGCGTTTCTCATGATGTACTCTGCATATAAGTTAAATAAGCAGGGTGACAATATACAGCCTTGACGTGCTCCTTTCCCTATTTGGAACCAGCCTGTTGTTCCATGTTCAGTTCTAACTGTTGCTTCCTGACCTGCATACAGTTTTCTCAAGAGGCAAGTCAGGTGGTCTGGTATGCCCATCTCTTTCAGAATTTTCCAGTTTATTGTGATCCACACAGTCAAAGGCTTTGGCGTACTCACTAAAGCAGAAATAGATTTTTTTCTGGAACTCTCTTCCTTTTTTGTTGATACAACAGATTTGGCAATTTGATCAAATTTGGCAATTTGATCTTTGGTTCCTCTGCCTTTTCTAAAACCAGTTTGAACATCTGGAAGTTCACAGTTCACGTATTGCTGAAGCCTGACTTGGAGAATTTTAAGCATCACTTTACTAGCGTGTGAGATGAGTGCAGTTGTGTGGTAGTTTGAGCATTCTTTGGCATTGCCTTTCTTTGGGATTGAATGGCCACTGCTGAATTTTCCAAAGTTTTCCAAAGGTAGACATAGGTGGAAAAGAGATAGCTGGAAAAGGGGAAAGAATCTCGTTATTCAAAGCCCCTCAGTCATGTACGGAAGGACTGTTCCACCTGGTAAAAGATAATAAGGCCAATTAACAGAGCAGGCTGGTTCAGGCGAGTTGTATGAAGCCATTTGGATGCTTCTTTTATTTTTAAAGTCTTTGAAGTGGGTCTCAGATTCAGAAAGCAATTTAACACATGCTCTGGAAGCAAGGAAGCAGCAACAAGTTGGGAAGTTGGTTAATGTCATAGGGAAATCTACATGTGGTGTGTGTGTGTATGTGTGTGTGTGTGTGTGTGTGTATACATATATGTATGTATATATATGTGTCTGTAGGGAAAGATTAATGTTTACTTAGAGACAGTTACTTTCAGTGACTCCTCTAAAAACCCAGGATACTGGGATAAACCCGGTAAGCCCAGTATACTGTGTACAGTATACCCAGGATACTGTATAAACTGGAGACTTGAGTACTTTGAGGTTAATATGGTGCTGAGATGTGTGTTTTTAAAATTTTGTAATCATTCCTCTAAGTTTTTTGTTTCATCTTAGAGTAATATATTGTTTCATATTGGTGTTAGAAATAAGTTTGGTTTTTGGTATAATGTGCTTCAGCTGGATGGTGTACCTCAGTTATGCCTACTAATCTCTTGATTTGTGACACATGAATTACTAAGACCCTGCTGTCTCTGAGGAAGATTATTATTAATAGGACCCTAGTGAGGAATCCAGCACCTCCTCGCAATGTGAATTACTAACTTAATCCTATCACAGTGAAGAGGAACTCAGTATGCACACACTTCTAAAATTGTAATTGTATTTATCAGTTCTCTATCTTGGATGGATGGATGGGTATGGATGATCTTTCTTGGGTACTATAGTTCCAGTTGGTGCCTTTTATTAACAGAAAATCTCACAAAGATTTTGTACTAATGTCTATCTTGAGCCAATGGCCTAATTAAATTCAAGTGGGATGTTATTTGATTCTCTTAATGAGCCTTGTGGAGTGGGAAATGGCAACCCACTCTGGTATTCTTGACTGGAAAACTCCATGGGCAGAGGAGCCTGGCAGGCTACATTCCATGGGTCGCAAAGAGTTGGACAGACTGAAAACACACACACACACACACACACACACACACACACACACACACAGCCTTGGGAGAGTGTTAGAAAGTGTCCTTGGTGCCTGAACATCAAATGGGGAGTGGCAAGAGAAGCAACTGGTCATGTCAGGCTAGTATAGTTTGGCTTTTGAAGACATGGGGATGGCTTAATAAGTTTATAAAGTCAAGATGCAAGGTCTCTATAGTAATTTGTACCTTGAGCCTTCTCTTTCACTGCTTTCAGAGAGTAGGACTTTAGCTAATTATTACCATTCATTGTGCTCACAGATTAAAACTAAGCTCTTTTAATTTCCTGGGTGCCAGTCTATAAATGGTCTCCTACTTTTGCAGTTTCCAAAATGGAAAATGTTTTAAATGTGATAACAATAGAGCAGTTTCCGGCTATAGGAACAAATTACAGATTATTTGGTTTGGGGGAAGTTCTACAATGATATGGTCAAGTGTGTGTGTTTTTTTTATACATATCCTGTCTTGGTGTTCCTAGAGCTTCTTCAGTCTGTGGCTTGATACCTTCAGTTTGGGGAAATGCTTGGCCAATATTTCTTCAAATACTGATTCTGCTTCTTTTTTTTTCTCTCTTTTTCAGGTCTCCAGTAACATGTATACTAGATCTTTTTCATCACTTCTCATATGTTTCTTTAGCTCTTTCGTGTAGTTAAAAAAAGGCTACTTCTTCATTCTCTTCAGTCTGAAGTTTTTTGTTTCTTTTCCATGGTGATAATTTTCATACACTCTTCAATCTGGATGTTTTCTCCATGGCAGTCTATCAGTTCACTAATTCTTTCCCAGTCTGTATCTAAACTGCTCTTAAACTCATCTATTGATTTTTTAAAAATATTGATTAATTCTTTGGTGATAGTCTATCTTTTCATTTATTTTCTTAGACATATTACTCAGTTATTTTAACGCAGATGTCTGATGACTTGAATCTGCAATACTTATGGGTCTGCTTCTGTTTTCTTGTTTTGGAACATTAGGTCTTATTTTCTGGCATGCTTGGTAATTTTTGATTGAAAATTTGGATGATGATGACTTTGGAATAGATTTAAATTTCTTTTAGCAAAATATGAGTGGATCACATTGCTTGAGTAAAGGCTGGTCTGTTTCTAGGTTGCTCGTATTTCCAGGTCATAGCCCTACTGGTATGATTTCAAAAACTTGGAGTTTTCAACTGGTAGACTCACAGCTCCAAACTTTGTCTCCCTGTTAATGAGAGACTACTTAAATATATTCATTCAACTTTTGAGCAGCTTCTTTCTGCCTGGTTTTTCTGGGTTTTGCCCCATGTATGTGTAATATGCCTCAAGAATGCTGGGCATGGAATGCTTCGTCCTTCCTCTTTTCCAGAATTTTAGATACTTAAGTCCTGGCTGCTTTGGTTGCACCCATCAGAAAACATTGTTCAAAGAGTTGCACCTTATATTTTGTCTGCTTCTATAGTTGTCCTTAGGAGGATGATTGGTTTGGACCAGCTACTCTGCTGTAGCCAGAGAGAAAGTTCTTCATTGATTACTTTGATTTTTAAGAATTAAAACTTAAGTTTATGGAAGTTTCATTTTTCAAAGCTATTGCACAGGCTGTTAAGTTCACCTTAAGATCCTACTCTAAATCCTTATAAAGGGGCCTTTTTTAACTTGTTAAATGAAATATTTTAAACTTCACTTATAAATTTAATACTTGTTTTAAATTCTTTAACTGTTTAACTATTGGTTTGATCTTCTCAATCATTTTTAGACGTAATTCTAAATCTTCCTAGAATTTAAATATGTTTGCCCATTAAGACAATGAGTTTATCATTCCAAACAATTTTGCAGTTTGTCTTAGTTGACTAAAGGAACATAGCAACCAGAGATGTAAAGTCAGGAGCTTTAAATTAAAAAAAAAGTCTCTTGTCCCTGACTGCTTAGCCAACCCCCTTTTTGTAATATCTATGTGATGGACTCAAATAAGAATGGAGTGATGGTGATCATGTAGCCTGTCCCTGATCTTGAGTCATATTATAATATATTTTTTAAGTCAGCTCTAACTCCCATTCATCTTTTGCTGTTTCATGAGTTTTGAGTAATTTTCATACTCTCGCTATTTACTTGTTAGATGTTTAATTCACATTTAATTGAAGTTTATGTATTCAGAGTTGTGTCTACCTCCCTAATGTGGGTTCCAAGCTTATTATTGTTGTTGTGATATGGCCTGTTCATTGAAAATGGAGCTATTTATTGCATTGAAGTTTAAAATGGACTTGTTTTAAATAAACATGTTATCAATATAAAATGACCAATAAGGCACTGTACATTAAACCTTTTTGATCTCTAAAATTTTTAATAAATTGAGATAATTGACATAATAACATTAATTGCAGGTGTACAACATAATGACATAATATTTGTATATATTGTGAAGTGATCACCAAAATAAACCTAGTTAATATCCATCACACACAAAAGTCACACATTTTTTTCTTCTTATGGTGAGGACTTTTAAGATCTCTCTTGGCAACTTTCAAATATACAATACAGTATTATTACCTATAGTTACCATGCCACACATTATATCCCCAGGTCTTACTTATTTTATAACTGGAAGTTTGCACCAAAGCAGTTTTGTTTTAAGTGTACTGTTAACTACTGTTCAAAGTCTCATTTACCTGGACTACCAACTTATTGCTTTTCCCTCCACAGGAAGGCGGAAATGCTCAAAATGTCTTCCAATAGTTACGAGGTTTCTATCCCAATGTCAAGAAAAACCAATGGCATTCCGGAGACAACCTCTAAGGGCCCGAAGACATTGACTCAAGGAGCTGTGTTAAGTTTTCATAACATCTGCTATCGAGTAAAAGTGAAGACTGGCTTTCTACTTTGTCGGAAAACAATTGAGAAAGAAGTACTAGCAAATATCAAGTATGTGCTTGAACTTTTATTTAAATAGGTTCATTGACATGCAAGTTTTGCTTATTGCACATAAAGGTGTGCAAGTCTATACAGATATATAGACACATGCTTTCATTTCATTTGACTAAACTAGCAGTGAAAGGGTTGGAACACATGTTAAGTATATATAAATATAAGACAACTATAGCCTAGCTTAGGTTATGCAGTTGAAGTCCAAAGTGATAAGAGAATTTAGGATCCAAATTAATATTTAATTATATTTTAGAATCCAGGTTAATACAAAACTATGATTCTTGATTCTCTTCATCCAGCAACTAATGCATTAAATGGTGATGAAGTGGGCAATAGAGGAGGGAGAAAATGAGCACTCGTATCTACTGGGTCTCAAGATATCTTTTTCATATATTATAGCCTTTAGGGTTTTACTATGTTTCTGAATTCTAGAAAATTGAGCTGGATTCTTCCTCTCTGTGGAGTGGGAAGTGCATCTGAGTTTGCTTAGATAGCACAGCCTATGTGTTTTGTTAACTTTTTTGTTTAACAGGGGAATAATTATTCCTAGATAAAGCAAACAGCTTTTTCTGGCTTTCCAAGACTGGAGGAATGGTTTATTAAGAACTCTTTGTCCAGGTACAGCTACAAACCTGTATGGAATCAGATGCTTCTCACGTTTTCTTAGTGCGTTATATGCGACTGTGGTCTTTTCTATTATTGGCAGCCAGCTGCTTCCAGAGGGCTAGGAAATGACAAATAGGGGAGAGAATGTGGGGCTGTGGGTTGAGAAAAAACATCAGGGATTTAAAATTGATTAGGTTGCCAGAAGGCCAGGAGCAGTGTAGAATTAAATAAATTTTTCTCCATGCAGTAACACAGATTGTACTGCTTTCTTATGTTGAGAAACCCTGTGTATCAGGAGAGGAATAATTTATGAAAAGCTTTTATCTTTTGCTCCATATCTAGACTAGCATTGACTGATCTTTCTGTAAAGCTTACATTTTTTTTTTTTGGTGGAGCATAATAATCAAGAGAAACACTGGTCACTTCAGATTTTGTGCTGATAAGTGGAAGGTAACAAATCATTTGAATATGTACAGGTTGGATAAATTTAAAACATACACTGCTCCAGGGTACATTTACCTTGCTTATGCTTTAAAGGTAGTAAATTAGTAACTTGATACACTAAAAGTGTCATCTGTTCAAGGCTTCATAATATTTTTATGGTTCAGTGGTGTGCACTTTAGCAACAGCTGAGTTCATCCTTACATGCATTCCTAGGTTCATAAAAACTCAGTCAAATCTTGTAATCATTTCAAATTTTACAGATAAAATGGCACAAGGTTTTTTTTTTTTCTTTGCTTGCTCTCACTGCTGATTTAGGCAGTAGTGTTTCTTATGTTCCCCCTATCTTCTGGCTTCAACTAAGTAGAGTTTCTGGGATGGGAAAAGGGTGCTCTCATTTATTTCAATTTTGATTTGTGTTTGATAGCACCATTAGCATTCAAAATAGTAACTGTGTTCCAGAAAAGGGGATGAGGATCTTGATTTTTTGTTTTTCCTTTGGACATTTTATAATCTCACCTGTAGAATCAATGTAGACTCTCATTTCCTTCTGGGGGATAAGATGCTAAAATAAAATCTGACTACATGAATTCAAAAAGTTGAGATTTTACTTCCTTATAAAAATCTTCCTGCTTTGTTTTTCTCCATACCCAGCAGGTGAACTTTTTCTCACCAAAGCTGAAGATTTCTAGAAAAAGTGATCCATTCCAGTGGCTATGTGGCTATCTTATCATCTTCAGGGAAATCCATTATACTATTTGAGAATTTTTTGAATTAATAATTTATTGTGATATAATTTCAAATTTAAATCTTGTGGGAACATAACCCTTTCACCCAGATTCCCAGCTGTGAATGTTTCACTGCATTTGTGCATCACTTTGTTTATCTACCCATTGTCTCTAATATTTTTCTAAACCACTTGAGAGCAAGCAGTCTGTATGATGCTTCAGTATTCCTAACCCCTGCAGTGTGTATTTTCTAGAAATAGTGACCCTCTATTAGATAAACACAGGTCATTGTCTATAATAAGCTCAGGGGAAATGTAGCTTCATAATGAATGCAGTGGTGGGTCTTATGGAGCCTTGGTCAACCATGCTCTTCACATGGTTGACTGACCACCACATCATGTCTCTTCAGTCTCATCCAAGCTGATTTATTCCCATCCTGCACCTTAATCTTGGTCATCTGGTCATGTTAATGTCTCCCAGCCTTCTTTACCATATGCCACCATTTTCCCCTTTGTAATTGACAAATTTTACAAGAGAGATACTATGACTTTATTCAAAAATTCTATTTCTCATTAAACTTCAACCCACCAGTTCTAGTCCCCATTGATGACCCCTGCCTGAATCAGCAGGACCAATCTGCTTTGGTAGTTAATTATTCTATATTTACCAAAATGTGACTTTCTGTTTTCATCCATCTCTTCTATATATATTAGTTTGCATTCTAGTAAAAGGAAGAACTTCATTCACCATCTCTTATATTTGTATTTATATAAATATAGACCCATAGATTTGTATTTTATTCAATAGCATTCATAGTAGTGCATTATTGTCATTATTTGTCTTGATACTCTTATTATTCCTGATTTGGTCAGTGAGGAACTTTCATGGTAGGTTCTGTATTTTTTTTTTAACTCTTTCTTTTGACATATTCTCATTCTTTGAATACTTGGTTGGTACAGCAAGAGGTTTCAGACTCATTGTGTACTTAGCCTGTGTCAGACCTGGAATCAGCTGATGTTCCTTTTTGTGGAGGATGGAAATAATTGCACAGCAAGATCTGGGTGCTTGAAATGTTTATTGCTATTAGGGTATTATAGCTTTTAGACTTCTTAGTGGACAGACCTAGGGAACATATGTATGTTTCAGTATATGCACATGTGTATTTATACATATATCTAAAACTTTCTATATCTATGTATGTAGATTAAAACCCATGACTTCTCATTATTACATTCTCCAATTTGTATCTAATATGCCAATGTTCTTTCCACATATCCATGTTTGTGAAACATCATTTCAGAATGTGACAAGCTTGGTTATCATTGTCTTTGAGTTACCTATTGGTTTACTCAATCAATATTCTTATTCTTCCGTATTAAGGAGACTCCTGCCCCTTCACCTATTGCCTCTCTTCCTCCCACATCCCTTTGCAGCCTATGTTCTTGGATACCGGCAAGATACTATGTTCTTGGATACTTCTGCCCACTTTCATCACCTTCCTACTGAGAAGGGAAGTGGAAGTCTAATAGAAATTATTGACGTATTTGAACATCAAATAACAAATAGGGAATATAACTAGGTTTTTTTCCCAATCAGACTATACCTCTTGTTCATAAACTTTTCCTACTTCTTTTTTAAAAATATTTATTGATTTGACTGTTTGGGTCTTAGTTGTGTCATGCAGGATCTTTCATTGTAATGTGCAGGCTTCTGTAGTTGTGTGTGGGCTTAGTTGCTCTGCAGCATGTGGGATCTTAGTTTCTCGACCAGGGATTGAACCCACGTCCCTTGCATTCAGATTCTTAACCACTGGACTATCAGGGAAGTCCCTTTCCTACTTATTGACATTAGTTTTTATTGAAAATATTTCTTTTGATTTTCCTATAAGTAATTGTCATTTATGGAAATGTGGAGATTCATTTATTCATCAGATGTCCAAAGTCTACTAGGTACTTGACATTGTGCAAGATGCTAGTGACAGATGTATCCTGTGTCCTCAGAAACCTTCTATTCTGATGGGGCACTCAGACAACTAGCGTACCTCACTGTGTCATTCTACTATAATAGAAGTGTTAGAAGACACCATGGATGTCAGTAACCCTAAATCAGCGGTTTGGAGGTGTGGGGAGAGAAAAGTGAAAATTGTCTATGTGCACACTTATATGTGAGTGTGTGTGGGGGGAATAGAGGCTGGAGAGAGGTCACGTTCCAGCAGTGGGAGTGGCACTGACTGCAGCCCAGGACCAAAGGATTAACCCTTTAACCACTAAAAAGTAACACATTTGATGTGAATCTTTTAGCTAGGTTTCATTTCATGTATCCAGTATCCAGGTGGTCTACCTATTGTAAACCACTGCGCTACATGCTTTGGGGGTGGGGGATAAGATAAGATGGCATAATTCTTGTTGGCAAAGTTTTAACAGTATAGAGAGGGGAACTTTCCTGCATGTAAATACTGTAAAGCAGTACTTAAGGGTGGGGAATCGGTTTTGAGGGATGACAGTACGGCAGAGGGTAGGGTGGGGAAACAAGGGAATTATAGACCATAGGCTCTTTATGGACTGTCCATCTGTGTTGCAGCTACTCATCTCTGTTGCTGTAGCATGAAAGCAGCCATAGAGAATACGTACATGAATGAGTGTAACTCTGTTCCAGTAACACTTCATTTATGGAAGCAGGAGACAAGTGGCCAGCTTTACTAGAATGTAAATTCCACTCAGGCTAGGACATTTATTCTCAACTCCGTCCCGTGTTCTAGAAGAGTATCTTGTTATATACAGGAGACACTGGACAACTGTGTTGAATGAGTGAAGGGAGAATTAGCCACTGCTCCACACTGGAACTGTTGGAGTTGTGATTGTATGCTATTGTTTCCTGTAATTCTAGGGCTTGGTACCAAAGTAAGCCCAACTCAGGAACCTGTAAAGTTCTCTGTTAGAATGTTTATATTCAGTTCAGAATTAATTATTTCAGATTGTTTGATCTTAATTTGAGGAAATATTTTTAAAACCTGGAAAGATTTTGACAATTAAATCTTATTTTTTTAAAAATTTATTTATTTGGCTTCACTGATCTTAGTTGCAGCATGTGGGATCTAGTTCCCTGATCAGGGATTGAACTGGCCCCTTACATTGAGAGCACAGAGTCAGTCACTGGACCACCAGGGAAGTCCTAACAATGATGTCCTAATGAATAACAAGCTTATATCAGGTACATTAAGAGCTATTGATAAATGCATCTTGAAAGTTCACCCAACCATTAGCATGTCTTTTTACATCTGTAGGGAAAGGTCATTGAAAAAATAAGAGATTTTTCTGTTTTACAGTTTGTTCCTGGTTTACTTAACTCATTTATTTGCCAGTGTTTCAGCTAATGAGCAAAGTGAAACATGCATGTCATCCTAGTATCAGCCATTTCACTATTTTGATGATGCAAGCTCAAAAGTCAATAAACGCTGAGGTCCTGAGCAACTAGGCAGAACGTTTGTGTGTGTGTGTGTGTGTGTGTATACACAGTATATAACGTTCTGCCTAGTTGCTCAGTAGTGTCTGACTCTTTGCGACCCCATGGACTGTAGCTGCCATGCTACAGTGGGGCATGGGGATGGGGATTCTCCAGGCCAGAATACTGGAGTGGGTTGCCATGCCCTCCTCCAGGGGATCTTGCCAACTCAGGGATCAAACCTAGATCTCCCACATTGCAGGCAGATCCTTTATCATCTGAGCCACCAGGAAAGCCCAAGAATACTGGAGTGGGTAGCCTATACCTTCTTCAGGGGATCTTCCCAACCCAGGGATCGAATCCAGGTCTCCTGCATTGCAGGTAGATTCTTTACCATTTGAGCCACCAGAAAATATATATATGTATCCCCTCTCATCACTTCTAAACTGAGAAATAAGAATAAATTTCTACTTACACTTTATAAGAAAGAGAATGATATATCTTGAGGGTATATATTTTATTTTTCTAATTTGATTAGGAATTTTGTGAGGGTTTAGAACTGGTGATATTTTCTTTTTAACCCCCTTGAGGTGCTTTATTCCATCCACTGAATTTTCATTGCAGGTTTACGGCTTGTCTGACTAGATTTGAGCAATGAGAATAGTACTACTGAAGATTCTAGAAATCCACTGACATTAATTGTGTAGAACTTGACAAGGTAGCGAGTCACATGATGTGAAGATAATAATCATCAAGCATCACTCAAGACTTATTATGCACTTTATTTTACACTGTGAAAGGAAAGTAAGTGTAACAGAGATGTTTCCCCAACATCTGTTACATCAGGGAACTTTGAAAGTTCTTGTGTCCTTTTCTAAAAAATTTAAATGGTCTAGAGAATAAGCAAAAGGAGTTTAGAGGAACCCAAGTCATTTTTATTCTAGGTTCTGACTAGTGATTAACATTCTTTGTAGTATGCTAGATTTTTATTACTCAACAATTCAGTTTCTTTTTCCTTTAGAGTTGATTTGTGCTTTTTTTTCCCTCCTATCATTTTATCAACCTTCATTAAGTGTATTAAATACAAGCCCTAAATTATAGAACTGGTTTTAAACTGAGTCAGTAACTGGATATATTTCTGCGTTTATAGTGGAGTCATGAAACCTGGCCTCAATGCCATTCTGGGACCCACAGGTGGAGGCAAATCTTCGTGAGTATAACAGTATAAGTAAGCTTTTTCTTTGTAGTTTTCATGTGTGGTTTTTAAAAAACTGAATTATAGTCAACATAAATATTATGTTATTTTCAGGTGTACTACATAGTGATTTGACTTTTGCGTTCATCAAATGATCACCATGATAAGTCAGGTCATCTGTCCCTGTATAAAGTTTATTAGATATTAACCCTATTCCTTATCCTGTGTGTTACATCCCTGTGGCTTATTTATTTTATGACTGGAGGTTTGTACCTCTCAAATCTCCTTCACCTATTCCCCACCCCCAGTTTTAAGGTGCTTTTAAAGAACAGTTTCATATGAGCAGGTGTTTGTTTCTTGAACATTTTCTACATGTCCAGTTTGGTACTGGTTGCTACAGATAAGATGCAGTTGTGCTAGCTTGTGATTGTGTCCTGAGGAAGTCTTATTAGGTCAGCTTTACTAATAGGACACTAACAGGACATGATAAGGTGATTGGCATACAGCTGTCAGCTATGATTTGAGCTATATGGAGTGGAAAAGGTAGGGGATAAAATTGAAAGTGGGGAGAGGAGCCAACAGCATAGTGAAGGCTTGTATCTTAAGCAAAGGAGCACATTGCCTGCCTGGAGACCCCCCAAGGTCAGACAACCTAGGGGGCAGTTTGGGTGGTCTGTGCTGGATCAGGCAAGAGAGCTTACTATCATATTTTTGGGCTTTATTATAGCATATAATTTTTAAAAGGAAGGTAAGATTTAAAATATATGTATATAATTTTAGTTAAACCATACAATTTTTTGATCTGTTAATTTGGATTAAAATTAGCTAAGAGGTAAAGCCTGATTTGGAGGGAAAACAAAAACAATAAGGTATGTCTTTTATAGGTTGTTAGATGTCTTAGCTGCAAGGAAGGATCCACGTGGATTATCTGGAGATGTTTTGATCAATGGAGCACCTCGACCTGCCAATTTTAAATGTAACTCAGGTTATGTTGTACAAGTAAGTATTTGTGACTTTACCTACTAGATTTCTTTTGATTTTTCATATGGGCAAGTGCCTTGGCTGATAGTTGAGTGTGCTTCCAGTTGACTACATGACATAATCATATAAACAACTTTTCTTTATACTAGCTTTTCATAATCTCCTATAAGATTCAGAATAGTATTAAATGAAAAGAAAGTCTGGAATATGACCCTTGTAAGGGCAATAGTATCAACTCTTATTATCATATCATTTCTAAAACACATTACTATTTTACTTTTTTTGCCTTACCCTGACCTCTTTCCTTCCCTTAGCTTAGAACAGTGTTATATAATCCTTGTGCAAAGTATTCTATAAATGTCTGCCAGTAGTAATCATAATTACCTGTGTTCTCTTTGGGTATACAGGTTAGAAATGAAAATTAATTCATCAGGCTATGCAACTGTCTGAACATGGAGTTATTGTAATTTGTTTAATTGCAAGTTCATCATTGGGGCTTTCCAGGTGGCACAGTGGTAAAAAATCCACCTGCCAATGCAGGAGATGCAAGAGATGTGGGTTCCATTCCTGGGTCAGGAAGATGCCCTGGAGAAGAGAATGGCAGCCCACTCCAGTGTTTTTGCCTGGAGTGTCCCATGGACAGAGGACCCTGGCTGGCTGCAGTCCATAGAATTGCAGAGAGTGGGACATAACTGAGCATACAACACACACAAGTTCATTATTAGCTAGAACTTGGGTACTTTGTTTTTGTGGAGAAGTTACATATACCACAGAGTGGTGGTATTAGAAAAGACCTGACATATCTTGTTAAAATGCCATTTTTCTTTAAGGATGATGTCGTGATGGGAACTCTGACAGTGAGAGAAAACTTACAGTTCTCAGCAGCCCTTCGCCTTCCAACAACTATGAAAAATCATGAAAAAAATGAGCGGATTAACATGGTTATTCAAGAGTTAGGTCTTGATAAAGTGGCAGATTCCAAGGTAATGTCGAAAAAACTGATAATATCATAGTCAGCAAATAGGACCTCACCTGTGTGGATGGTATAACTTACTCAGAAATTTTCTGTAATACGTATGGTTAAGATTGGCTGCTTTCTGAAGCAATGAGAAAAGTGACTGGTCACCTGACATGAAGATGGAAGTTAACCAGGTTAAAAAATACTAAAAGTGATTAACTCTTGGGCAGGAAGTGTGTCAGTGTGTTCTAGTATGTGGACGTGTTCTTTGCTGTGAACAGGTGACCCTTTCTGTGATTACAACTCTTGATCCTCTCCCACCTCTGGTTGGTTGATTGTCGCAGCTCATTCAGTGTCTTCATGCTAACTTTGCTTCTTCCTGTTTTCTTTTCCCCTTGTAGTTGTTCTTCTTCTGTCCTTCCACGAGGCTTTCTTCCATTGCTTTTGAGAATTATATTTCTGGAGTTCATAAACGATGAAAATTCAAGAATTCAGTATGTTTCACTTTGCTGTCAGTTGGCTTCCAAAATTATATTCAGTCAAACTAGGGATTTATTTGTAGTTTGTGTAGCTTCGAACTTATTTTTCTGAAGCCTTTCTTTTGACATTTTTGTCTCCCAACCCTCCCTCCCTCACTTTCCCTCTCCCTTTCTTCTCCCAGTATCTACTTATAGACTGTTATGTGCTGGTCTGTTTTAGGCTTTAGAGATAACAGTTGTATGCAGGAGAGTAAAGTAACTCCTTTTGTGAGTTATGCAAGTTTAGAAAGAAAAATTGAGATAAATGAGTGACCTTTATGGTTGATGACTAGGTATAAAAAAATTTTCTGGAAAACATCTGTATCTTTTGGTGAAGATCAGCTTTGCAGCTTGTGATGGCTCAAGTTTAGTCCCCTTGTACTAGAAGTAACAAAGAATGGGGATGTTTTGCTGGCTGCTGTTTCAGATGATACTTTCTGACATTATTTAATGTAAAGTATATTTTGCTATATTTTGTTTGGAAAAATAACTTTGAGATGCCACCGTATTCCACTAAATTCATTTTGGGAGTGATTGGGTTTCCTTTGTATTAGCTCTATTTATTTGATATTGTCTTTCCAATAAGGTATTTACCATTCTTAACCTTTAAGTAAAAGTTCTCTACCAATAGGCAGTCATTACTCATTCCTTGTATGGATTTCCAGGGAAAATAAGCTGAAACAGTTTGTTGACTTAGAATTTATTTATCTAATTAATTGAAATACTTCACTTAATGTTTTTGGTTTTTATGAAATTTTAAGCATAACAAATGTAGAGAGAATAGTCTGATTACTTAGTTGTTACTGAGTCCAAGTTTGTACAGTAATCATCATGTACAGACCAATAAATTGTGAGATGAACTGTTGGGGCAAAGAAAAGTGACTTTATTTGAAAAGTCAGCAGACTGAAAAGATGGTGGATGAATGTCCCCAAGAGCTATCTTATCCAAATTAGAATTAGACTTATTTTATACTGAAAGAGGAACAGAGTGTGATTGGTTGTTGCAAACTTCTTAATGTCGGAATCTTTTGTTCTTGTAGCTGTTCATGTGTATCTGGTCACAATGTTCTTATAAACCTCTAACAAGACAAATGTTTTTCTCTGTTATGAATGGAAAAATCTAATCATTCTGATCTTTAAAGGTCAGATCCTTGAGAATGGGCTATCCTGTATGGGCTATAAACCATATTCATTCACATTTCCTCATTTGTCTCCAAAATGTCTGTTAGAGGTCAGTTGTTAGAGGATCCAATCACAGGCATGAGTAGCACTTGATTATTATCTTTTTGAAGACTCATAAGAATTGAAGTGATAATATGATTTAACCTGACTTCATATTAAATCTATTCCTTTAGATCTAACCTGTATACTCTGTTGCCTGTGCTTAGTCATGCTGGCTCTACATCTTTTACAAAAGGTTATTGATGACCATTAATATAAGAATTATTTCCTACTTCCTTTCTCCCCCAAAACCTTCCTGGTCCTCCACCACACAGTAATGCTGACTGGTTGAAAAGACCCAGCCAATTGCCCAGTAGAATAGTCTACCTTCCTATGTAGAATAGCCCTATAGAATAGTCTGCTCATCCAGTTAGTTGCCCTGTAGAATGAGTCAGGACTTCTTTCGTAAGTTAAGGTACAGGAGGGCTCAATTTGGGAAGACTTATGATGATTTAAGAGGTGCTAATGTGGTATAATAGAAGGTGAACTTTCCTAGCTACCAAGACACACTGGTGACTTTCTTGGGGGTGGGGTGGGGGGGAGTGGTCAGAAGGCTGTAAGAAGACTAACAAGTATAGATGCTTTCAACTTCTCTGCTCCTATCTTCATCTCCCTTTTTGGTCTGTGATTTCAGACCAAATCTTTCAGTGTCCTAGCTTAACTGTCTTAAAACTAAATGTTTGCCTTGATAAGAAACATATAAAGCATAGGTTTCATATCTTACCAATTCTGACCTAAACCTCAGTTTACTCTTCAAGTTAAAGAGAAGCCTACCTCTTCTCCCACATAATTTTTATTTGCTATTCTGAATAAACAAGGATGATGTGATGAAGTACCTCTTATAGGACTGGAACATTTTAAGAGCTCAATAAATGACAGTGGCTGAGGATGTTATTGGTAATACTAATATTTGTGTTTTAGGTTGGAACTCAGTTTACCCGTGGTGTGTCTGGAGGAGAAAGAAAAAGGACTAGTATTGCAATGGAGCTTATTACTGATCCATCCATCTTGTTCCTGGATGAGCCCACAACTGGCTTAGATTCAAGCACAGCAAATGCTGTCCTTTTGCTCCTGAAGAGGTAAATGCTATGAGAACATTATTCTTTCACTCATCCACTGGGTGGTCACCTGTATGTACCAGGTATTATTCTTGGTGCAAGGGATACATCAGTAAGCACAACAGACAGAAATGTCTTCCTTGGTTGCAGGGAAAGTCAGTTAACAAATGTAAGTGTTCCATGAAAAATGAGACAGGCTGCAAGTGTAGCAAAATATGGCTATGGTGGAATAGAGATACTGTGTTATATATAGGATGATCAGGGAAGACTTCAAAGAGGTTTTGAGCTGGGAGCAAGTGAACAAGACCTGGATATATGGGAGTAGAGAGTTCTAGTGGAAGGGACAGCCAGTGGCACTGAGGCAGAGTGTGCTTCCTGTGTTTGGAACCCAGTAAGCTGTGGAGGGGGGTGGGTATTACTTATTGATTACTTTGCTCAGGGTACCTTAGCGTAGTATAACAGACTGGATGGCTTAATGTAGAAATTTAGTTCTTCACGTTTTTGGAGTCTAGATGTCCAAGATCAGGCATTCAGCAGAATTGTTTCTTCTGAGGTCCCTCTCCTCAGCTTGTAGATAGCAGTCTTCTCTCTGTGTTTTTACTTCATCTTCTCTCTGTGTATCCATGTCCTAATCTCCTCGTCTTATGAGGACACTGGTCCTGATTGAATGATGACACTCACATGACCTTATTTATCATAATTGCCTGTTTATAGTAAAGAGCCTCTCTCTAAATACAGTTATATTCTGAGGTGCTAGGGGTCAGGACCTCAACATGAATTTTGAGGACACACAATTCAATTCATAACAGTTAGAAAAGGATATGAGATGGGATTGAGTGGTTGGCAGATTATATAGACTACAGGCCACTCTAAGAACTATGGCTTTTAATGTCTGGATGATGTGGAACCGAGGACTGGCAGTTCTGTAGAGAAAAGGCTGTATAATTGGTCAGGGGTGAGTGGGAGGAATCCAGTCAGGAGGCTGTTTGTATTAGCACAGTTGAGGTATGATGCTGGCTTTGACTAGGATGGTAGTGGTAAGAGGGGAAGGAGTGAGTGGGTTCTGTCTGTTTTCCAAATAGAATCAGCAGGATTAGGTTAGAACTGGATGTGGAATGTGATTATTGAGAGAATAACTTCTGAGATTTGGGGCCTGAAAAATGGGAGAATGGAGTAAAGAATGTCATTTACAGAGGGAGATGGAAGGAGAGGGTGGGATGTATGAAGAGAGTAACATGGAAACATATACACTGCCATATGTAAACTAGATAGACAATGCAAATTTGCTGTATGATTCAGGGAACTCAACTGGGGCTCTGTAACAACCTAGAGGGGTGTGATGGGGAGAGAGGTTTAAAGGGAGGGGACATAGGTATACCTATGACTGATTCATGTTGATGTTTGTTAGAAGCCAATACAATATTGTAAAGCAATTGTACTTCAAGTAAAAATAAATTCATTAAAAAAATGTCATTTACTTTTATGAAGAAGATGGGAGGAGAATCATGGTTATAGGAGAAATTTCAAAAGTTTTGGACATCTTTTTTAAAATTAACTTTTAAAAAGTTTCAACCTCACAGAACAGTTACAGGAGTAGTACCAAGTACTACGTTACCACCTTAAACACCTCCCAGCCACACCATCCAGTCCATGAACTCCAGTCATGCTTCCCGAGCTGCCCCAGAATTGTCTTTTTTTTCCTTTCTGGCTCAGGATTATCTCCAGAAGCACCCCCTCCCTTTTTTTTTTGGTCTTTTCTAATCCTGAACAGTTCTTTATTCTTTCCCTGCCTCTCATATCCTCACACATATTCGAGAGTACATCTCATAGGGCGACCCTCAAGTTGTATCCATCCAGTGTTTCCTCATGATCAGACTCATGCCATGAATTCTTGGCAGGGATGCTGCAGAAATGATGCTGTATTCTCAGTGATAACATCAGGCTGTGTGATTTTGACTTCTCCTATCATGGATGATGTTAACCTTTCATCAGCTGGTCTTGTTGGTATCTGCTGGCTTTATCTGCTATGAAATAACTATTTTCCCTTTGTAATTGATTAGTATTTTATTAGGGGAGATAATCAGATATTAGGCCAGTATCCTGTTCCTCATCAAATCTTCCATGCACCAGTTTTAGCCTATGTTCACAACTGCCTCTGTTAGCTATGAGTATGAGGGTAACCAAGTGGTGATTTTCTTTTTACATCATTCATTCAACATGTATTCGTTGGTCTTTTACTGTAAAGAAACTTTCTTCCTTCTCTGTTCATATGTTTACTCATTTTCTCCTTTTATTAAGTGAGTTATAATCTGTTATTCTTCCTTATTTTCATGACAAAATTCACCCTGATTTGGCCAGTGGAAGCCTCCTCAGTCTGCCTTTTGTGTTGTTTTTACATGTCCCTGTCATTCTTTAAGCATTTCTTTACCTTATGGTCAGCAAGATGTTCCAGGCTCATCGTGTACTTTTCCTGTATCAGATGTTTCTTCATGGAGTCCTGGTTCCTCCCAGTTTAGCTATGATTGAAAAACCAAGATCTGATTACTTGGTGTGCTCACTGCTATGGGAGTGTCATTGCTTCTAGATCCACTTAGCAGACAGGCCTAGGAAATGTGTATGTGTATGTATGTGTATATAACATAGAAACACATATGTGTATTTTATTTGGAAATATATTTACTATAAATATGTTATATGTATGTGTGTAATAGTTTGAATAGAACTTACATGTATAAGCATATTTGTAACTATTGCGCTATTAGTGTGTACATGTTTTTTTTTTAAAGTGGATTTATATTATTTCTAATCTTGATCTAACACTTGAGTGCTCTTTTTAGCCTTCCACCTTTCTGTGTTTTTAAATGACTTTTCAGACAATGTGAAACTTGGCTCCCATTATCTCAGTATGTTTCCTTTCTTCCTCAGTAAACTAACTTAATTGTTCAATTTAATCAGTTTCCCAGTCACTCTGGTGGTTCCCTATGCTCACCACCTCTGGGACAATTACCACTACTCCCCATTTTTAAAAACCTGTTGGACATACCATCTTTATATGGCATCCCCTCCATATCATTATCTATCTTTTTTTAAAAGTTTTATTTCTTTATTATATATATATATATATGTATTATATATATATGTATATATTTGGGGGGGGCGTGTTGGGTCTTTGTTCCTGTACATGGGGAATTTCTCTAGTCGCAGCAAGTGGTGGCTACACTTTGTTGCAGTGCACAGCCTTCTCACTGAGGTGGCTTCTCATTGTGGAGTATGGGCTCTGGAGCACCGGTTCAGTAACTGTGGCCCATGGGCTTAGGTGCCTCTCAGCATGTGGGGTCTTTCTGGAGCAGGGATCGAACTCAACGTCCCATGCTTTGGCATGTGGATTCTTAAGCACTGGACTCCCAGGGAAAACCCTACCTTGCTTCTTCTGATGTCCATGCCCTTGTAAGCAAGCCCCTATGCTAGAGTAAGAAGGAACGGGAAGATGGAAATGTCTGATTTTAGACATTTTAAGTTTGAGATATCAGTTACACATATAAGTGAAGATGTCAAGTATCAGGTCTGGGATTCAGGATCAGTTAGAGAAAACATCCATGATATTTTTATTATCTGTAATTAATTATATTAACAGTGTTCATTAGAGAATGATGACTTCAGTTCAGTTCAGTCACTCAGTCATATCCAACTCTTTGCGACCTCATGGACTGCAGCTCGCCAGGCCTCCCTGTCCGTCACCAACTCCCAGAGTTTACTCAGACTCATGCCCATTGAGTCAGTCATGCCATCCCACCATCTCATCCTGTGTTGTCCCCTTCTCCTCCTGCCTTCTGTTGGACCGGAATCTGGTGGTCCGGAGTCGACATAAGAAAGTGAAAGAAGGAAAGAGGCTAATATTCCCTGGGTTACAAAGCTGGCCTTCGCGCTCTGGGGAATCAGCCAGAAATAGAGAGAGAGAGAGAGAGAGAGAGAAAGAAAGGAGGACACGGAGACCCAAGTCTCTGGTGGAGCAAGGGCGCTTTATTGAATTCTGTGTGAGTATATATGCTGTAATACAAGGTAGCGTCTTCAGATAAAGATCAAGAGACCAGACTTTACAAGTTACCAAGGAAGCAAGGAGCAATAGAGGCCATAAGGCCAAAAGGCAATCCATTTCAAAAGAGGGTTGTAAATAATTCCTTTCACCAAATGGAAAAGCTAATGAAGGAAATCCTATGCAAGCATCCCATCTTTTTGATCTCCCTCCTGGGAGCAGCTTGCCTGCTCCTCTTGCCCCTGACAGAGACTAATAAGGAAGAGAGGGCTCAAGAGAGATAGGAAACAGCACACAGGAATCCTACTGTTAAACATTCCCTGACACCTTCAAACTTTCCCAGCAACAGGGTCTTTTCCAGTGAGTCAGCTCTTTACATCAGGTGGCCAAAGTATTGGAGTTTCAGCTTCAACATCAGTCCTTCCAATGAACATTCAGGACTGATCTCCTTTAGGATGGACTGGTTGGATCTCCTTGCAGTCCAAGAGACTCTCGAGTCTTCTCCAACACCACAGTTCAAAAGCATCAACTTTTCAGCATTCAGCTTTCTTCACAGTCCAACTCTCACATCCATACATGACCACTGGAAAAACCATAGCCTTGATTAGACGGACCTTTGTTGGCAAAGTAATGTCTCTGCTTTTTTTTTTTTTTTTTTTTTTGAGGGTTCAAACTTGGAGTTTATTTTTAAGAAAAAGTATCTGTTAAAGAATAATTTTGTAAAGGGTATAGTCATGACTCATACAAATATGAAATAAACATATGCCAATGATTTTATTTAACTCATTAATTGAAGAATTCAATAAAATGTGACAAGCAGTTTGAAAGAAAATTCAGAGAACCACATAATATATATACACATCTGTGTGCATGCTCAGTCATGTCTGACTCTTTCCAACCCTTTGGAGCCTCCTCTCTCCATGGAATTTTTAGGCAAGAATACTGGAGTGGGTTGCCATTTCCTCCTCCAGGGTCTCTGCTTTTTAATATGCTGTCTAGGTTGGTCATAACTTTCCTTCCAAGGAGTAAGCGTCTTTTAATTTCATGGCTGCAGTCACCATCTGCAGTGATTTTGGAGCCCCCCAAAATAAAGTCAGCCACTGTTTACACTGTTTCTCCATCTATTTGCCATGAAGTGATGGGACCGGATGCCATTGTTTTCTGAATGTTGAGTTTTAAGCCAACTTTTTCACTCTTCTCCTTCACTTTCATCAGGAGGCTCTTTAGTTCTTCAATTTCTGCCATAAGGGTGGTGTCATCGGCATATCTGAGGTTATTGATATTTCTCCCAGCAATCTTGATTCCAGCTTGTGCTTCATCCAGCCCAGCATTTCTCATGATGTACTCCACATATAAGTTAAATAAGCATGGTGACAGTATACAGCCTTGACGTGCTCCTTTTCCTATTTGGAACCAGTCTGTTGTTCCATGTCCAGTTCTAACTGTTGCTTCCTGACTTGCATACAGGTTTCTCAGGAGCCAGGAAAGATGGTCTAGGATACTATCTCTTTCAGATTTTTCCACAGTTTATTGTGATCCACACAGTCAAAGGCTGGCATAGTCAATAAAGCAGAAATAGATGTTTTTCTGGAACTCTCTTGCTTTTTTGATGATCCAGCGGATGTTGGCAATTTGATCTCTGGTTCCTCTGCCTTTTCTAAAACCAGCTTGAATATCTGGAAGTTCACAGTTCACGTATTGTTGAAGCCTGGCTTAGAGAATTTTGAGCATTGCTTTGCTAGCATGTGAGATGAGTGCAATTGTGTGGTAGTTTGAGCATTCTTTGGGATTGCCTTTCTTTGGGATTGGAATGAAAACTGACCTTTTCCAGTCTTGTTGCCACTGCTGAGTTTTCCAAATTTGCTGGCATATTGAGTGCAGCACTTTCACAGCATCATCTTTTAGGATTTGAAACAGCTCAACTGGAATTCCATCACCTCCACTAGCTTTATTTGTAGTGACACTTCCTAAGGCCAACTTAACTTCACATTCCAGGATGTCTGGCTCTAGGTGAGTGATCACACTATTGTGATTATCTGGGTCGTGAAGATCTTTTTTATACAGTTCTTCTGTGTATTCTTGCCACCTCTTCTTAATATCTTCTGCTTCTGTTAGGTCTATACCATTTCTGTCCTTTATTAAGCCCATCTTTGCATGAAATGTTCCCTTGGTATCTCTAATTTTCTTGAAGAGATCTCTAGTCTTTCCCATTCTATTGTTTCCTCTATTTCTTTGCACTGATCACTGAGGAAGGCTTTCCTATCTCTCTTTGCTATTCTTTGGAACTCTGCATTCAAATGGGTGTATATTTCCTTTTCTCCTTTGCTTTTTGTTTCTCTTCTTTTCACAGCTATTTGTAAGGCCTCCTCAGACAGCCATTTTGTTTTGTTTTTTTCTTTTTGCAATGATGACTTGACATAGAATATTATACTGTTTTATGCTTCATTATGTTTTGAACTAGTTAGCTCACAAGCATCTTTCCTCACATTAAGAGAGCTTTAACCTCATTTGTCTAGAGTTCCACTGTGTATCCTAATCACTCGGGGTCTTATTAAAATGCAGATTCTTATTCTAGATCTCTGAATGGGAGGCCAAGGTTCTCCATTTCTAATAGGGGATGCTGATACTGATACCGCAGACCACACATGGATAACAGAGTTCTCCCATCAGTCCACTTCCCTGCTGCCAGTCCTTTACTGACTCCTTACTGCCTACTGACTAATGAGCCAACTCTGAGTGGCAGGATTCATCATGGGCCTGTTTTTTGTTGCTGTCGTTTTTGCAGTCTCCAGTCCCTGCCTCTACACATATACCTCAGCTGTGCAATGACACTGAACTACTTGCAGTTTTTGGAGTAGATCTTGTTATGGCACATTTTGTTTGCTGTCTTCCTCCATCTTCTCTCCCTGTCAGTCCCTCTGATACACTACTTACATCATCTTCAAATGGGTTATAGTCTCCTATTTGGCTTACAAGGCACCTTCAGCTACTTTTATTCCTCCTTGTATCAAAACGATTGGTCTTTTTGAGATAGAAGAAACTTGTATCCATGGCTAGCATATAGTACTCAGAAAATGTTTAAATTGATGTGATTCTTCCCATACTACCACTAATAATAGTAGTTTATTGTTTTCAATAATAGTTTTTGAGTGGTGATTTTGGCTTTTCTTTCTTCTATCCATAAGTAGTAGCTCCTGTATGAAGACAGGAGTCACTCACTATCTTTTGGCCATGGTGTTAGATCAGGGATCAAATCCCAGCCCTGCCCCTTCTCACTGTGATGCTTTGAGCCGTTGCTTAGTTCTCTGAGCCTTATCTGTTATATAAAGGTAAAATTATTGGTACTGTTTTGTAACAATATTGTGAGAATTTAGATGAGGTCATCTATAAAAACAAAGATACAGTCAGTACTCAGTAATGTTAATTGTATCATTAAGGCAGAGAATTGAAAACTAGTTCTGAAAGAGCCGTAAGACTTAAATAAATGATCAATAAGGATGGGGCATATGACCATTGTTTTAAGATTTACTTCATAATAAGTTTTCAAACTTGAGTGTACTTACAAATTACCTGGGTGCTTGTTAAAATATGCTTCCGTGGACCCAGCAGGTCTGAGTAGACTGTCCAAGAATATACCTTTTTAATTAATATTCTGATTGATTCTAGATTGCCCATGGAAAACACTTTAGAAACTCTAGTTTCATGAAAACATTGAGTTTAGGTTCTCTAAATATCAGATAGATTATGAGATGAGAAGTTAGTAAGAGCAAATCAAGTTGAATGGGGAATAAATGATCTAAAGGCAGGAGTAATAAAGTATGGTACCAAGAAATGTAAATTTCAGATGTTTAATGACTCATTGTTATCTTCTCACTATTAATTTAGGATGTCTAAACAAGGACGGACAATCATCTTCTCCATTCATCAGCCTCGTTATTCCATCTTCAAGTTGTTCGATAGCCTCACCTTGTTGGCCTCAGGAAGACTAATGTTCCATGGGCCTGCTCAGGAGGCCTTGGATTACTTTCAATCCATTGGTATGGTTGACTTTTTTGTTCTGTTAAGATCCCTCATTAATAGTATCCTAAAAGAGAACAAAGGGGTCATTTGGAGTGCTGTTTGATCTTTGAGTAGATATACATTTATCACAGTTTCCACTGCTCCGAAACATCTTCGGTTAGTTTGGTGCTAGAATTTTTCTTTACTTTGCAGTGCCAGTTTGTTATTTATGACCCTTTTTTGTCCTGTTTGAGTACATGCACATGCACATGTATGTTTTGTGTGTGTGTGTGTATTTCTAACGGGGCTATATCGCTTGTCCTCAGTTCTGGTGACCTTTCCCTAACAGTTCAATAAATATATTGATCTCATGGCCAGTTATCCATCAGATGGATATTTTTGGAAAGATCTAATGTCACTAAGTTATTTTTTTCTTAGCTAATACAGATTAAGGTTTATCCATGAGATATTGGTTTTCCTTGGTGAGGGTTCATGGAGATGCTATTATATTTAATTTTCTAGTGATATTAAGTTGTGGATTTAGCATGTATGGAACTTACCTGTCAATACAACGGCTAGTCATAAGTCTGACTTCAATGGGCCAACATTTCTGATGGTTCTGGAGTGGCTGTTTAAATTGGAAATATATAATTTTTTAAATGACTCATGCAGTCTACTTTGTTTTAGAGGTACTTGGATATGATTATAGGTGATGCTCCATGATCTCAAATATAGTTTAAAATATTTGCCAGCCATAATTTAAAATGTCTTTGTTTAATCTCTATCATTTAAAATTAAGCCTACATGGGTCAAGAGTTTTGGGGGGATGAACTTAAGGGTCAGACTACAGGCAAAGCTGAGTTCAGATGATCATGTTGTTACTGAGTCTAAGCTCATACTGCTTGCTGCACAACAGGCCAGTAAATCAATAGATAATTTGCTGGGTCAAGGAATAGCGACTTTATTCGGAAAGCTAGCAGATCAAGATGATGAGTTAGCATCCCAAAGAACCATCTTACCCATATTACAAGTCAGGCTTTCCTTTTATACTAAAAGGAAAGGGGGTGTGGTTGATTGCTGCAAACTTGTTGGTGTTGGAATCCTTTGTTCTTGCATCTGCCTGTGTTGGTCTGGTCATGGTGTTCCTATAAACCTCCAACAAGACAAATGTTTTTCTTTGTTCTACAACTTTTTATCTCTATATGAATGGGAAAGTGTTACACCTTTAGAGATCAGACCCTGGAGAATGGGCTATCCGGTATATTTCAGGCTACAGGCAACATTCTTAACTTGTAGCAAAAGCAATGGCATGCAAAGGTTAAAGTAAAAGAAACAGATCCAGTATGGAGTCATATTTGTTCTTCCCTGTTACAGTGCCGCGAGAGGTCAAGGTAAGCATTCAGCTGTGCGGTGCCACTACATTCTCTTGAAAATGCTGTTCTGGTGATTTGTTCTCTATCCTGGAATTATAATAGCATAATAAATAACCATTTGGACCTGCATTTAGTAGGAACAGAAATAATCATTGCTGAAGTGGGTACTAGCATTCTAGCAGTCTCTAAGTGAACCTGAAGAGCAGAACACGCCCCAGGCTTCTCCCAAACAGAGTCCTTCTGTGCCTTAGCTGGCTTTGCTTGTTGTCTTGCTTTAAAGAACACTAGTCTTTCCATGGCTTTTTATTTCAATGTGTTTTTTTTTTTCCTTAGACCCATGTCTAGATTTTTGAAGAAGTTCTGATTAAGCACCAGAGCATATTGCTAGCTATTTCAGGTCTCATGAATTATGATGGGTAAGGACCAAGCTCTAATGTAAGACTTCCTAATAGTCCAAGGTTGGTTTGGAGTATGTTGTTTTGTGCAGAGTCAGGAAATTGTTGAAATACTGTGTGATTAAATATATAAAAGGAAAATATGAATTAATGAGGCGAGAAGAGAGAAGGCAAATGAGGGATAAATTAGATTCTGTCTTCCCTAGCAGCACCTCCCTCACTCTCTAAAACAGTCTGTATTTACCAGGACTATCAATTTTGTGTACCTGAATTACCTTCTTTTGCAGGTTTCCACTGTGAGCCCTATAATAACCCTGCAGACTTCTTCTTGGACATCATTAATGGAGACTCTTCTGCTGTGGTGTTAAATAGAGAAGACACAGGTGATGAAGGTAAGCAAACCTGTTGAGAATCACAGATTATTTTCTAATTGAGTTGGCTGAAGTTTAGCAATGTGGTAGCTTGTTAAACCGTGGCTGTGTGAATTTATAACAGTGCTATCCTCTGATACTGGTTGTACTAGTTTGTTTGGCTACTGCTACAAAAATACCATAGACCCGATGGTTTAAACAACAGACATTTTCTTCTTTCAGTTCTGGAGACAGCAAGTCCAGGATCAAGGCACCAGCAGATTCAGTGTCTGTTGAGGACCTGCTTCCTATTTCATAGATGGGCGACCATATTATAGCTTCTTCAGGTGGTGGGAGTGAGGAGGGAGCTCTCTGGGGCTTATTTCATAAGGGCACTAATCCCACCTCCTGAGGGCTCCAGCCTCATGACCTAATCATCCCTCAAAGTCGTTCCATTCAAATACCATCACACTGGGGATTGGGTTTCAGTATATGAATTTTGCAGACACACAAACGCTCAATCTAATAGCATCAGTCAATGCAGATTTTTTTCATCTGTGGGAGTGCTATTTATTTAATCTGTAAATGAGCACTGATAGGACAATGTCAATTCTAACAGGAGTTCCCATTTTAAAAGAAGTGCCTATTGTTTACAGAGTAGTCCCTTGGTTTCCATGGAAGATTGGTTTCAGAATCTCCCGTGCCCTGTAGATACCAGAATCCAAGGATGCTCAAATCCCATAGGCCCTCTATATCCCTGGGTTCCATGTCTGTGGATTTAGAGGGCCAACTGTGTAGTGTTTTGAAATAAGAAACTTGGTAATTTTTGCATTTATTCATTGCAAAAAGCAAGGACCAGGTGTTTTGTTTTGTTTTAGGAATTATAACTCCAAATTGTGAGAAGTCTATTTTGAAAGATTTAGGGTCCAAATATTATAATTAGGAAAAGGTCAGTGAATTTGCTGTATCCATAAGTTTATGGAGGGAGGCCAATTTAGTCTGTTTTCTTACCTTGTAAAGCAGTGACAGAACCCATAATTTTTTTATACTCAAGCTTTAGAATGAAGGTGCTAGGGTAGAATCTAAGAAAGGGGTTATAGAAAAATGGATTAAATCTGTTGTTATTTTTTTAAATAATGTTTCCTTTTTATCTGCTTTTATTCCACAGTCAATGAGACCAAAGAACCTTCCAACAAAGATACTCCACTCATAGAAAAATTAGCTGAGTTTTATGTCAACTCCTCCTTCTTCAAGGAAACAAAAGTTGAATTAGATAAATTCTCAGGGAGTCAGAAAAGGAAGAAGCTTCCATCCTACAAGGAGACCACTTATGCTACCTCCTCCTGTCATCAGCTCAAATGGATTTCCAAGCGTTCATTCAAAAATTTACTGGGTAATCCCCAGGCTTCCATAGCTCAGGTAACCTACTGGGGCCTCTAATTATGCTGTAAAATACTCATTTGGGGGACATTATGCTTATCTTCTGTCCACGCTGTATTTATTTATCCCCATTCCATTTAGGGTATAGAGACAAGCAAAACCTAATTGGGTTTTTACTTTTAGAAAGACTTCTTTTTTAGTTTTTTTTGATCACCCACTCAGAATTTTTTTGGTTCAGACAAGCTGTAATGGATAATCTTTGTAGAAAAAAAGTTTTTTTTCCAAAAATTGTGAAGTAAAGAAAATGTTTGACCACATTTGTGGTTTTCTGATGGCTGCACATGTTCATTTCCTGATGCATTCAGTAAGTTCTTATTGATTATATGCTGCATTTTGGAGCTTGTATATAGCCATGAACAAAAATAAAATCCCTGCTCTTGGGGAACTTACTTATGAGGAGAGACAGATGATAAATTAATACAGAAATAAATAGCATGTCAGATGGTAAAAGAGGCTGGGAAGAGAGTTTAAGCAGAGAAATGGAGAAAGGAAATGAGAAAGGAAGGGAAGAAGGGAAGAGGGAAGGAAAGGAAAGAGGTTGGTTGGTTTGCATCTTATATCAGGTGGCAGGGACACCTTCAGCTTGGTGTAGCTGAATGTCCCTGAAAGCAGTAGGGCCGCTCACTGTTTTCTCAAAGAGCCTGTTTACAGAGGCTGTCCCTTCGAATCAAGCTTCCTCATTTAGGGGTTCTGATCTTAGGAGAGTACTAAATACCTAAAACAGTGTGCAGTTAGCACAAAGGTAGTAAGCAGACTGGAATTCTGTTCAATAAGACTCTTCACTGTCAGACTCACCTTCTCTTAATTAAGTTGAATTAATGTTCTTTTTTCTCTTTTGCCCGACTTTATTGATAGTTGTTGATTACTCCTTTATGATTTTTCTGTTATTCTTAAACCCTCTGTCGTCCAAAACCCTTGTTTTTTCATCCTTTCTAAGGAAGTCAGTTTAACCAGTTATTTTGGGAGTAGCTGATTTTACTTTCATTGAATTTCTACTGAGTACTGAAAGATGGCGTGTTGTTGGCTCTAATGAAATATCACTGATTTCTTACTATACATGCCATCATTTTCACACTGTGGTACTATTGCCTTTTAAGTATTAATTTTGAGAGCCTATATCCCTCGAGACATACTGTTCCAGACACTTTTTACTTGTTATTTGGCATTTGTCAGAACATGAACAGTTTTAGATACTTTCAATCAAGGATACTTTTTAATTCTTTTAGTAGATTTGATGTCATTTGGGAACAACTTCTGTAAATAAAGTCAACCTCATTATCAACATTGTTTAACAGTAAAATGATATGAGTGTTGATTCTTTAGTATGATTTATGTGTTATATTTTTTTATTTGGAAAAGAAATTTCTCTTGCTTCTGAACGTGGTTTCTAAATATCTTGTCCAAGTCACATATGGTCAGCCCTCAGTATCCGCAAGTTCTGCACCCACTGAGGTTGGAGGAACTCACAGATGTGGAGGGCTGACTGTATGACTCCATTTTATATGAGGGGCTTGAACATCTGTAGATTTTGATATCCAAGGGAATCCCCCTGCTGATACCAGGAAATGACTCTATGTGGTAGTTCTGGGCAGGGGTGATTAGAATGTGGGGCTGTGTTTAGTAGTACACCAGGTTTCTGCATCTTTTGATGCTAGGTTTTCTTCAGATTCCAGCTCCAGGCAGGCCTCGTGTCTCCAGGTTGCATGTTCAGCCTACGTTCCTCTTCAGTGAACTCAGCTCCACCGAAGGAATCCCAACAATGTCCACAGCAGTGATAATCTCACAGAACAAGGACAGAATCTTGCATCTCCCTGAGCCATCTGCCTGTGGGGGGCAGGGGGGGAGCTTCTTCAGATGAGTCAGTACTGAAAAGTTAGCTTAAGCCAGTAATAGGCAAAACTTTTTTGTAAAGGGTCTCAACCCTGCCATTTTAGCAAGGAAGTAGCCATAAATACATTTAAAAAATAAACATGACTGTGTTCCAATAAAGCTTTATTCATGGACACTGAAGTATTAATTGTATATGAATTTCACATGACAAGAAATACTACTCTTTTTTTTGCCATTAAAAAAATGGTCAAGAAACCCCACAAACCATTTTTAGCTCATGGACTGAACAGAAATACGCCTAGGGACCATAGCTTGCTGACTTTGGTTTAGGGTTTTTTAATCTTGGGAGTCTGTCTTTTACTTCTCTAAGTGTTTGAATGTGGAGCTATTAAAATATTTTATGGATTCCTGTTGATAAATCTGGTGTAGATAGTCTTATAGCCATAGTTAGTTTTGAACTAGTCATTTACATGAGCTAGACTTTGCTTCTGGTAATGCATTTAACCAAAAGTTGTCTTTGGAAGGTCTTGGAATGAATGGATTTTGTTGATAAGATTTAGGTATGGTCCCGTTGCCATTTACTTTGTTTTGGGTTCACGTTTATACAACAGCATTTAGCATTTGTTGAAGAGCTGGTTTGGTGGTGCTGAATTCTCTCAGCTTTTGCTTGTCTGTAAAGCTTTTGAATTCTCCTTCATATCTGAATGAGATCCTTGCTGGGTACAGTAATCTAGGTTGTAGGTTATTCTCTTTTATTACTTGAAGTATGTGCTGCCATTCCCTTCTGGCCTGAAGGGTTTCTATTGATAGATCAGCTGTTATCCTTATGGGAATCCCTTTGTGTGTTATTTGTTGTTTCTCCCTTGCTGCTTTTAATATTTGTTCTTTGTGTTTGATCTTTGTTAACTTGATTAATATATGTTTTGGAGTGTTTTGCCTTGGGTTTATCCTGTTTGGCACTCTCTGGGTTTCTTGGACCTGTGTAACTATTTCCTTCCCCATTTTAGGGAAGTTTTCAGCTATTATCTCCTCGAGTATTTTCTCATGGCCTTTCTTTTTGTCTTCTTCTTCTGGGACTCCTATGATTCAAATGTTGGGGCATTTCACATTGTCCCAGAGGTCCCTGAGGTTGTCCTCATTTCTTTTGATTCTTTTTTCCTCTCTGCTTCATTTATTTCCACCATTTTATCTTCTACCTCACTTATCCTATCTTCTGTCTCCATTATTCTACTCTTGGTTCCCTCCAGAGTGTTTTTGATCTCATTTATTGCATTATTCTTTTTTAATTGACTCTTTTTTATTTCTTCTAGGTCCTTATTAAACTTTTCTTGCATCTTCTCAATCTTTGTCTTCAGGCTATTTATCTGTAACTCCATTTTGTTTTCAAGATTTTGGGTCATTTTTATTATCATTATTCTAAATTCCTTTTCAGGTAGATTCCCTATCTCCTCTTTTGTTTGACTTGGTGGGCATTTTTCATGTTCCTTTACCTGTTGGGTATTTCTCTGCCTTTTCATCTTGTTTAGATTGCTGTGTCTGGAGTGGGCTTTCTGTATTCTGGAGGTCTGTGGTTCCTTTTTATTGTGGAGGTTTCACCCGTTGGGTGGGGTTGGACAATTGGTTTGCCAAGGTTTCCTGGTTAGGGAAGCTTGCGTCGGTGTTCTGGTGTGCGGAACTGGATTTCTTCTCTCTGGAGTGCAATGGAGTGTCCAGTAATGAGTTTTGAGATGGGTCTATGTGTTAGATGTGACTTTGGGCAGCCTGTATGTTGATGCTCAGGGCTATGTTCCTACATTGCTGGAGAATTTGTGTGTTATGTCTTGCTCTGAAACTTCCTGGCTCTTGGGTGGTGGTTGGTTTCAGTGTAGGTATGGAGGTTTTTGGATGGTCTCTTATTACTTAATGTTCCATGTAGTCAGGAGTTTTCTGGTGTTCTCAGGTTTGGGGCTTCAGTCTCCTGCCTGTGGATTTCAGTTTTATTCTTCCAGTAGTCTCAAGACTTCTCCAACTATACAGCACTGATAATAAAACTTCTAGGTTAATGGTGAAAAGATTCTCCCCCGTGAGGGACACCCAGAGAGGTTCACAGAGTTACATGAAGAATAGGAGAGGGAGGAGGGAGATAGAGGTGAGCAGGAGGAGAAAAAGGGGGACTCACGAGGAGAGAGACAGATCTACGCAGTTGTCTGTTCCCAGAGTGTTCTCCGTAGCCCAGACACCCACAAAGAGTCACAGAATTGGATTGGGAAGAGAAGGGGAAAGGAGGAAATAGAGGTGTTCTGAGGTAGAAAACGGAGAGTCAAAAGTGGGAGAGAGTAATCAACACACTCCTGAATAAAAATGGGAACTGAATATTGGATTCTTAAATGTCCAAAATTTATATCACATACTGAAAAACAAAGATTAAAAATCTAGAGTAGAGGTTAGACTCTTAAAAATACAATATTAAAAACAAAAACACAAAAAATTTTAGAAATATATATGGAGTTCGGTTTAAAAATAGGGCTTCCCTTTTTTTTTTTTTGCAAGGTTATAGTGAAATGAAAATGAAAATTAAGGAGTAGTAGAGGAGTAACAGAGGACTTTAAAGGAAAATAAGAAGAAAAAAAAAGAAAAGAAGGAAAAAAAAACAAAAAAAATTTTTTTTCCTAATTAAAAAAATCGTAAAAATATATGAAAATGAAAGTTAAGGAGTAATGGGGGAGTAATAGGGAATTTTAAAAGAAAATAAAAGAGAAAAAATAGAAAAGAAAAGAAAAAAATTTTTAATTTTTAAAAAAAAAGGTAAAAATATATCTAGGAATTTCTCTGGAGCTGTTGCGGTCAGTGTGGGTTCAGTTCAGTTTCAGATAGCTCCTCGTTCCAGCTTACACTTCTCGATATCTATGGGCCCCTTCCGGTGTAGTCAGTGTTATCTACAGGGATTTTAATCTGTTGCACCGGTTCCTTCTGAAGCGGTTCCCTTTGTTTATTTGGCTTCTGTTTGCCGGTCCCTTCAGTGTCTAATTCCCGCCCTGACACAGGCGGGCGGAGGTGGTCTCTTGTTCAGGTTCGCTAGTTCAGTCATGCTGCGGGGAGGGCGGGGCGCTGCAGACAGATATCACTGTGTGTGGGTAGCGCTCACAGTGTTCCGGCCACACTGGGTTTGCCCCGCTCGCGGGTGTGTGCTCTCCCCGTCTACGCTGCTCAGGCTCCCGGCTGCTCTATATGGAGCGTGCCCTGTGTTGCGTGCAGTTCCAGTTTTCGGGTACTCCACAAAAGCGCGGACTCGGTTGCGCCTGCGTTTTGTGCCTTCCCCTGCCCGAGCAGCTCAGGCAGCCAGGAGCTTGACGAGCACGCTCTCCCCGGGTGCGGTGCACCTTCTCCCGTCAGTGGTCCCAGCCTCAGTTTCCACCCGCGCCAGTCGGGTGCGTGCGCCTTGTGTTTTGCCGCGACCCTCCGGGCGGATGTCGACCATCCAGAATCTCAGGAAGTCTTTGGTTAGAAACTGGAGGCCTGTTTGCAGTGTGGTAGGGGATGCCGTCTCTGGGGCCGAGTTTGCCCCTTTCCCCTCCCCTCTGCCTCCTGCCTCCGGCGGGGCTGGGCCGGTCCGCAGCCGGCTAGCTCCTCTGGACTTGCTTGGTCCCTTTGTTCTGCGAACGGCCGGCAGTGTGTTCCGGCCGGTTAATTTTCTCTCTCTCTTTTGCTGTCCCACAGTTTAAGTTGCTGTCTCACAAAAGCTCCCTCCGATTGCCCTCAGGGCACTCAGGCCCGATCCTTACCCTAAGCGATGCCGCCCGCTCCTCTCCATTCCGCCCTCACTTGCTGGTGGCCGATGCAGGTGTCTGGGGTACTTTTCTGCTGGGAGTTGCTTTTAGGCACGCAATCTGTGGGTTTTATTTCTTTTTCCTCCCAGTTAGGTTGCCCTCTGAGATTCGAAAACTTCCCCCAGATCCGCCAGTGCGAGGGTTTCCTGGTGTTTGGAAACTTCCTCTATTAAGACTCCCTTCCCCAGGACGGGTCTCTGTCCCTAGCTCTTTTGTCTCTCTTTTTATCTTTTATATTTTGTCCTACCTCCTTTTGAAGACAATGGGCTGCTTTTCTGGGCGCCTGATGTCCTCAGCTAGCGATCAGAAGTTGTTTTGTGAAGTTTGCTCAGCGTTCAGTTGTTCTTTCAATTAATTTGTAGGGGGAGAAAGTGGTCTCCCGGTCCTATTCCTCTGCCATCTTGGCTCCTCTTCCTGTTGATAAGATTTAATATTCATTTAATGTCCCAAAGTTTTCCTGGTCAAATCAATTTGGAAAATACTAGCATGTCTCTGGGAGAGTCATAGTTTCTATTAGCACATTTAACATTTGACTGTGGATTAATTTTTTCAGCAACAGCCATAAACATCCCTTAAAATTCACCTTGAAAAATGTTGGTAAACACAATTGAACAAAACTAGAATTACGTATTTAGGAAATTTCCTTTTCTTCCCCCTTCTGTTCAAAAGATTCCAGCTGCACAAAACTCACAGGATAGAGTCTCTTTGCTCCAATGAGAAAAATTTAGTCTTCCTGTTTGTTTTCTTTTCCTTAATGGAAAAAGGAATAACATAGACACACCTTGTAAAAGCATGCTAAAATTATGGGATTAATCACTTTCTCAGTGTTTGAAAACTTTCCTTGAAAATATTTTAGTGCTTTGAAACCTTTAAGAAACATCTTAATGATAAAACTGACAGTCTGTTAATATGTTATTAAGTTTGAATGCAAAAGAAGCAAAGCATGTAGAGTGTCTGCTTTTAAAAGTCTGAATATTCTTGGAGTTTTACAGTGTGAAAGTATAGATTTGTATACATGTGCATGCACACATGCTAATGGGGTCATCATTATTTATTTTGGGAGTTGATCTGTTGACATGAAGTATAGTACATTTTGAAGGTAATTAAGATAAGACAGGGTAGTAAATTTTTTTTTTCAAATTTCCGACTGTGTTTTTTAGCAAGGCAATTTTTAAGTACATCTTAAATCATACTCTTTCCAGACTCGTCTTCACAAGCTAGTCTTCACAGATCATGATCTTGTTTTCCAATTTTGTTTGCCTCATGCCATAAGTGTCTTGACAAGTTACTACAAGCCTTGATACCATTACACTGTTGTAGTGCTGAGGTGGTTTTTTTTTTAACTCTGAAGGTTCCAAGGTATATATAGGATATTTTGTTTTCTTTGTATGATCATATCTTATATCTTTATACATTTAATAAAATTTAATTAAAAGTATAATAAATATAATTTCCTTGTATAAGTTATAACATAACCCTAAACCTTTGTTTATAAAAGTATCTTTAAGAGATATTTTATCAGCCTTAAAAATCTTGAAAATGAAAGTGATGTTTATCCAGTCTTAGAAGTCATCAAACACTCTTAGGAGTCAGTGAAGGTGGGTAAGAATGGCGAAGAATTGGCAGCTTAGTTCAGCTGCTAGTGGTTGACCCTCAGGGCTGAGGTTGCTGGAGAAACAGTGACAGGAGGGTGGGTCATGGAAGCACTCGGGTGCCCCCAGAGAGAGCTGGCCGAATGCTTTGGTGACAGCGACAGGGCACTTTTCCATTGTAGGTGTGGACTCCCCAGGTTGGATAGATGACCTCAGCTTACCCCTGCTTCCTTATTGTGCGAAGTCCCATTGTTAGAATTGTACTTTAAAGTTTTTATTTATTTTTATTTGTTTTTTCATGTTAAGAGTAAGGATATCCTGTTTTTATTGGAACCTCTTGAAATATCACACCATGCATGTTCATTAGCACAATGGTTGAGAGTTTAAGCCACAACTCTTAGCCAGTCGGGCTTTATTCTGCTCCCCAAACTACTTTTCTGGGTGCGTGCATTGTTCTGCTTCACTGTATGGCACTCCCAGGCCCCATACCCTCAACTGGACCTGAACTGGCAGTGCCTGCTAAAACGCTGGGAATCTTAGCTTTTCTACTTTGTCTTCCTGTCAGTCTCCTGAACACATGGATAAATTATTTTTACTTTAACTTAAAAAGCAGTCTAGTAACATGTACACTTTATGTTTTCCTGAGGACTGTGTTCAAGCCACTTAGAATATCTGTATCAGTGGAGAGGTTTGATTATGTAGCCAGATATGTTTTAATAATAAAGGTTGTATTAAGTTTTTACCTTTAATTGAAATTCTTTTTTCTTTTTGAAAAGATAATTGTGACAGTCATCCTGGGACTGGTTTTAGGTGCCATTTTCTATGGTCTAGAAAATGATCCCTCAGGAATCCAGAACAGGTGAGTAAATCTGGGTCTTGATTTTGAGAGCATGTGGTTACTTTTCTTTCAAGTTTATGAAATTACATTAACAATTTGAATTTGAAACAAGCACAGGGTAAACTGAAGAGTAGGACAAGTCAGTGAATTGAAAGCTGAATGAGAGTTTTCATATTCATATATAACATATATATATAGTGCTAAATTAGGCAGAACATAAAAGGTACCCTGTTAACCAGTTTTAAGTGTACACTTCAGTGGCATTAATTACATTATTGTGCAACCATCCCCACCACCCAAGGCTAGAACTTTTTCATTTCCCAAACTGAATCTGTGTACCTATTGAATAACAACTCCCCACTCCCTATTTTTCCCAGCCCCTGGAAACCACTGTTACACATTTTGTCTCTAGATTTGAGTATTCTAGGTACCTCGTATAATTGGAATCTTAGAATATTTTTCCTTTGGTGACTGGCTTATTGTTTTTAGCATAGTATCTTCAAGGTTCATCCATGTTGTGGCATGTGTCAGAATTTCTTTTCAAAAACTGAATAATATCCATTGTATGGATATACCATATTTTGTGTATTGATTTATCTGACCATGGGTACTGGCTGTTTCTGCCTTTTGGCTGTTGTGATTAATGCTGTTATGAATGTGGATATAGAAGTAAATATCTGTTTGAGTCTCTGCTTTAAATTCTTTTGGATATATACCCAGAAGTGAAATTATTGGATCATTTGGTAATTCCATTAATTTTTTGAGGCGCTGCCATCCTCTCTTCTATAGCAGCTGTACCATTATGCATTTCTACCAGTAGTGCTCAGGCTTGTAGTTTTTTCCCAACCTCACCAACACTTGTTTTTTTGTTTTGTTTTCATTAGTGGGAGATGGTATTTCATTGTGGTTTTGATTTGCATTTCCCTAATGATTATTGTGCTGTTGAGCATCTTTTCACATGTGCCTTGACCATCTATGTATCCTCTTTGGAAGAATGTCTGTTGAAGTTCTTTTTTAAAATTTTGTTTATTTGTTTATTTATTTTTGACTCTTCTGGGTCTTCGTTGCTGCATGGGTTTCTCTGGTTGCGGCAAGTGGGGGTTACTCTAGTTGCGATGTATGAGTTTCTTGGTGCAGTGGCTTCTCTTATTGTGGAGCATGGGCTTTAGGGCACTCAAGCTTCAGTAGTTGTGGCTCCTGGGCTTGAGAGCATAGATTCAGTAGTTGTGGTGCATGGGCTTAGTTGCTCCACAGCATGTTGGATCTTCCCGGACCAGGGATAGAACCTGTGTCTCCTGCATTATCAGACCAATTCTTTACCACTGAGCCACCAGGGAAGCCCTATTGAAGTTCTTTAACCAACTTTTTAATTGGGCTTTTAAAAAATTGTTGAGCTATAAAATTCTTTGTATATGCTAGATATGAACCATTAACAGATATAAATTTGCACATATTTTCTGCCATTCTGTGGGCTGTCTTTTCTTTCAATTGGTGTGTCCTTTGATGCATAAAAGTTTAAAATTTGACATAGTCCAGTTTATCTGTTTTTTTTCTTTTGTTTCATGTGAGTTAATTTCTTTTTGATTTTTGATTTGTTTGACATGGGGTGGTGGTTGGGACTCAAGTTTTTTCTGTTGTAGGGTTAGTACTACCTTACCTGGTTTTGGTTACAACATGCTGTTAAAGCTATATTCCCTGATGAAACTTTGCAATGGACTGCAGTATAGTCTGAATAAAGGAGCTGAGCAGAGTGGAAGACTGTAGAGTTCTCCTTGGCTTTGTGTTTTGAGAGCTGTTCTGGGCCAGGCACTGTCCTCTGGGCTTTACATCTGGGGTCCTCAGGTTACCCTTCCAGCCAGAGGGCTGGATGGTTTTATCCCCATTTCACTATTGGGCAAAGTTGCAGTGGTTTAAGTTGAATCTGTTTTGATATCTGGAAAAGGATGACTGTTAAGAAGGAACAAGCATAAAGGTCAGTGCCTCGTAAAGTAAAATATCTCCTATGTGGCAGCAGATCATGAGATAATTCTTGGAGTTTCGTTTTCTTTTTTTCCAGAGTTATGTCATTGTTTTTCTTTTTATCTTTCCTGAAGGATGTGCTCTTCTCTGACCTGTTTGGAAATTTGTTAGTAATAGGCAGTGTGTACCCTTTGTAGATGCTGTGTTTTTGTGAAGCACAGAGCACAGATTCCTGTAATCACAGGACTCTACAGCCTGTGGGACTTTTGTGTTGTGTAGCAGGAAGCATTTGGAAAAAAAAAATATTGGGAAACCCTGTCCTCAAGTGGAATTTAAGAAATCTGGTTATAAAAGCTCTTGGTAAAAGAATGCAGAGAAATATAGAAGATCCTTAACTGTTTCTTCAAATGTTTTCTGGACAAATAGAGCATTGGAGCTATTTTAATTCATACTTTTGACTTAAGCTTACTGCCACTTTTTATCATTTGAAGTTGCCCTGGAGGCCACTGTTGTTTGGTTCTCCTTTTTGGGAGTGAATTATTCCACAAAAATGCTCTCTGTTCTTCTTCTTAACCCATATAATGATGTATAGAATATGAGCTCTGTGACCTAACAACTACCTTACAGAGTTGTGGAGATAGCTAAACAAATCATAATTAATTAAGGGAAAAGCTACTTTAAGAATATTTGAATCAATAGGTATTACAGACATGAATTACCACCTGGGAAAGAACTGGACTACATTAAATTCTTTAACAATAAAATCTGCTTAGTATAAAATAAGTTGTTCTGTGATTTAGAGGAAATTTTATTATGTGCTACTTCAAAATCATTGTGAACATTATTGTACTATTAGATGTTACACTTAACAAATGAGCTGAACATTGCTATGTCCCACTTTCTGAAATCAGCTTTCATGTTGATGTTAGGCTTATTTGTGTATAGCAAGTAGCATAGTTGCTTGTGTTGTAGGCCTGGCTATTCCCCATTTCTTTATTGTATAAACATTTACTTTTAAAACAACCTATTCCCCAAGTTCTTTATTTTGGGAGGAAGAAGTCTTAAAAACAATTACTGACGGTCTATGGACTCTTTTCTCAAGAAGGTTATACACTTGGGTTTACCTTTTTAAAAATTCTCTTGTATCATTTAAATGATGTGCCGCTGCATCTCTTTTAGTTTCTCTCTTTTTTTTCTCTCTTTTAGTTTCAACTCACATTCTCAATGTCAGTTAAATCATTTGGTTAGGAAGGAAAGCTCAGCAATGTTTCAGGAGTATTGGTGTGCTTTCATAAAATTCATGTATCTATCCAAGTGTAGATTAACTGAGTACTTTCCTTTTTAAACTTAGATTATTTTACCGAGAGACAAGCATTAATAGTCTCCTTTTTCTCACGGGTACCCACATTAATTTTTTCTTTATGAGCATTCTTTTTTGTTTTCTGTTTTGATCTCATTAGAAAGAGACCCCATTAGCAGGGGGTGGTCAAGGAGAGTATCAAGGCTGTGCTGGTGGTGGTGCAATGGATGGATATGGTCAGGTGGTGGTCAGTGTTTCCCTCCTCTGGCTTTCACTTTGCCTTGTCTTAGTTTTTGCTTTACTTGACTTTTAAAAAAGTGGCTGATAGAGGTTTTTAACCTTTGCAGGCTATTTGGCTCACTGTTTCTCAGTTCATACTTTAAGAACTATAATTGGCATTTTGTTAGTTAAAATCCAAGGTGATAGTATTTTTATGGAATATGTAATCATCGGCTTGACTGCCACAGACTGTGTGTTCTTGCTAAGTTACTTGAGTTGTGTTTGACTCTGTGCGACCCTATGGACTCTAGTTGCCAGGCTCTTCTGTCCCAGGGATTCTCCAGCCATGAATACTAAAGTGGGTTGCTATGCCCTCCTCCAGGGTATCTTCCCGACCCAGAGATCAAATCTGTGTCTCTTATGTCTCCTGCATTGGCAGGCAGGTTCTTTACCACTACTGCCACCTGGGAAGCCCTGGTGCAAAGACCCACAGACCCGGTGACTTAAACCACGGAAATTCATTTCTCGCAGTTCTGGAGATAAGGTTACCAGTATGGTCGGGGTCTGAAGAGGATGCTCTTCTTATTTGCCGCCTTCTTGCTATGTTACTGCATGGCAGAGAAGGAGAGCTCTGATGTCTCTCCCTTTTCTTCTAAGGGCACCAATCCATAGTGAGGGCTCTACCCTCATGACCTCATCTAAACCCGACCAGCTCCCAGGGTCACCATCTGTAAATGCCATCACATTGAGGATTCCCGCTTCAGCACAGGAACTGGGGAGGATGCAGTTCAATCTTCAGCAGACTTGGTCATGAATTTCAGACTGTGCTATGTGGAGTCCCAAGGGTACCACTGTGGAGACGCAGGGGTATGGGAGTGACCTGCTGGGGCTCATGCTTCCCTCTGTTTTAACCAGAACGGTTGTGTGTTTAATGTGTTAAGATATCATTTGAGGGAAGAATTTTGCAAGAAGAAAAATGACCTGAGAATGTTTAACTGACTGCAGTGCTCTGGCTTCGGTTTCCTCTCTCACATCACAGAGCCGGGGTGCTCTTCTTCCTGACGACCAACCAGTGTTTCAGCAGTGTGTCAGCCGTGGAGCTCCTGGTGGTGGAGAAGAAGCTCTTCATGTGAGTAGCTCTCTGTTTTAGGAAGGCGGCTGCTGGTCAGACTGGTCACATCCAGTCTGGCTTGGGTCCTGGGGGTTACCAGTGTTGATTGGGAAAGAGCAGCCGGAGTCTGGGGGGAAAACCATGAGCACGTGGGGCCTGATACAAAAGGGAGAGAGGAGTTTCAAGATGAGGGCTCTGTCCACAAATCTACAGAGAAATCTTGCTGCAGAGAAAGCAAGCAATAAGAGACTGAAGAGGATCTTTTGTTTTTAGCAAATAAGAAGTTGTGATAACTGTCACAAGAAAAGTTTGAGGGAATTGGTAGAGAGAAGGTAGTGTGTTGAACAGTATATTCAAGGTGAGGAGGTAAAGATGACCAAGAATACAGACCGTCTTCAGTGGGAGGGGGAATGAAGGAGCCAGAGAGCAGCCTTAAAAAATGTAAGCTGTTTTGTTTCTTCTGTTTTTCATAGAGATTTGTGTATTTACATGTTGAGGAAAGGAATCATTAGAGAGAGAAAGAATGAAGATCTTGGTGGAATAGTTAGGAATTATAGGAGGAAGATCTCAGGAAAAGGAGGGATCTAGAATCTAAGAGGGGTGAAAAGAGAATTTGATCACTGACAGGTTGGCAGGCACTGTGGTTGGCAGGCATGATCATAGAGAGAAGTGCCATTTTCTTTTTTTATCAAGAGAGTGGAAGAAGTAAAAGAGATGAGTGACTCAAAGCTGCATTTGAGGCTTAGAGAACAGCAACAGCACCTTCTTCATAGTTAGAAGCAGGGAGAAAGGAACCACTGAAATGAGCTCCGGACAGGCCGGCCTTCAAAGAGAGCCAGTGTCCGGAGAAAGGGAGGTGATGCAGGACCTGTTCCCCCAGAGTGGGTGTTCAGAGGCCAACTGGCCAGCATTTGGAGGGAGTTCTGCAATGACAAGAGGGGTCAGTGCACAGAGCCTTCGGAGGTGATATCCGAGGGGAGACGCACACGTGAGACGTGCCTGATGCTGACCGGGGAGAAGGGTTGTGGGCTAACCTCGAAGATGGGGACGGGGTAGTTATTAGACCTCTGGTAGCCGTGGAAATCTGTATGAAAGTGAAAGTGAAAGTCGCTCAGTTGTGTCTGACTCTTTGCGACCCCGTGGACTCTACAGCCCATGGAATTCTCCAGGCCAGAATACTGGAGTGGGTAGCCTTTCCCTTCTCCAGGGGATCTTCCCAACCCAGGAATTGAACCCAGTCTCCTGCATTGCAGGAGGATTCTTTACCAATCTCATCTGTATAGCAGGGAGGACATCTGTATAGCAAATGGTTTAATCTCCTGGTCTTAAACTAATGTAGGATGTATGATGTGAATTTTTGTTTCTAGACATGAATATATCAGTGGATACTATAGAGTGTCATCTTACTTCTTTGGAAAACTGTTATCTGATTTACTCCCCATGAGGATGTTACCAAGTATTATATTTACTTGTATAATATACTTCCTGTTAGGTAAGCAATAAGACAAAAGGTGGGTGTCTTTAGTCTTGGATGGGAGGGGACTTTCTGTAAGCATGCTTTGGTTCTCAAAACTATAAATCAAGTCCTGAGATTCGGAAGCATATGTTCATTATGCACACTCTGAAATAATTGTTCTCCGAGGAGATTTTTGTCAAGGCTTTCTCCAAAATAACTTTTAAAACTGTTTATATAAAAAAAAGTTTATAAAATTATATATATAGACATACTGTGTGTTATATATAAACATGGAAATAATTCCTAAAACTACTTTACACTATGTAGGAGGAGCTGGAGCTGGGATATTTATTACTTATCTATTTATGTTTTTATTTTTGTGTATGAATATATAAAGATAATGAAGATAGTTACTTCTGGGGCTTACTGGTAATAAAATATTTGTTTGATAGATATAGAAAGATTGATTTGTGCATTTTGTTTAGCCTATACTCCAGGCTCATTGTATCAGAATTCTCTTTTATTTCTCACCTACACAGATGCCCACACACACAGACATATACACACTCCAGAAATACTTCTTTTTTGACAAGGCACTACTGATTGAGTTTAAACTTCCATTTTACAAATAAGAAGGTGTGTCATCAAGAATCAGGAATAGAACCTAGATTCTTAAATTCCTATCTGGTGTTCTTATGGCTGTTCTGAAGTCTTCAGATTCTTGTTTGACCCATAGTATTAGCCCATTTTAGTTTATAAAGCAGTTTTATGAAACTTATTTAACCCCATTGTCAATCCCAGAGTTATAGGGTGATTTGTCTTGTGGATTATGGACCCACTCCTCCAGATTTAAAACCACTGAGTGGTTATATAATCCTGACCTTACCAGTTATCTGCACTAATGCTTTTATAGCAAAGAGTGAGTAATGTGATGTTTAGGTAAAATGAATGTGCTCTTGGCAAGTTTCCTTCTTAGAAGAGAAAGCAGTAGAATTCTGGCTAGTTGTCTACAGCTCTCCATCTCAGACACTCAGAAATTATTAATAATTACAATAAAGAAGCAAGAGCACTACATGGAAAAGTGCTTATACAAGTCAGCATAAAGAAGAAAACTGCATATAACTTTGTACGGTTATATTGGGTGGTTAGATAGAGGATGAATTTTTTCACTGTGATAGTAGTTTCTCGAAGTATTACAATGTTTTTTGCATAATAAACAATCTCTGATACACAGTGTTGGATTAACCCACTCTTTGTTCGCTAAGGACTGAAACCAAAGGTGGAGGCCTTCTTCATCATGATGTTTACCCTGATGATGGTGGCTTTTTCAGCTAGTTCGATGGCATTGGCTATAGCAGCAGGTCAGAGTGTGGTATCCATAGCAACTATGCTCATGACCATCTCTTTTGTGTTTATGATGGTAAGTACAAACTGTGCTTCCCTGAGGCATTATCATTGCCCCTTATTCCTCCCCCCAAACTTGCCTATCCTGTAAGATCTGCTTGAGGATTCTGTACCTTGGGCTCTTTGTTCAAGGATGCTGTATATTGAAATATAGCTTATATTATTAGAGAATGTATCAGGTTTTTCTTGATCTCACGCAGCTAGTTTTGCTACTGTTCTAATACAGTTATTAAAACATTAGTCAATGTAATGTTACTGATGGGCTTTAAAAAGAGGCCTCTTGGTGACATACCATGAAAGCTCAATAAATTGGAACTTTGAAAACCAGAAAAATTTTTATTTTTAGAATTAAAAAAAAATGTTGAAATGACAGGTCCATTGTCTGACTTTCCTGCTGGTGGGAGAGAACTGCTGGCTTGTTTAAATGGCAGCTGAGATGGTTTGGTTGAATCTACTACTCTCTGAGGGAAAACCTAAGTCCCATGAAAATAAAGCAACATGTGCATGGGTCTGTCTTGGGCCCCTCCTATATTTTGAAAAGGAATGTTTTAAAAATACTAAAAAATTCCAGTACTAGGACCTCTCCTTTCTGGGTTCCTGACATTTCTTTATATCAATATATTTCTCTTTACCTTTTAAAATAGTTACTTAATCATAACCTTACATGGCCCTACATTTTGCACACACAATGATGAATCAGTAGGTGAAGGGAACCAGTTACTGCTTTCCCCAGTAAACATCAAATAAACAGAAATGTGTAGCCTCTTTACTTCATACACATGCCATTTCTGCTAGAGTAGCAGTACATGTCTTTAAAAGGTAGGTATTAGCACAAACTCTTGCCAAAGTTTAATTCTTCCATTACTGAGTTTGAAAACTACCAATCTAAACATTATTGAGAAAATGGTCAATGTTATGTATGTTTTCTATAGTGTCATATAATAAATAAGGTGTTCTTCAAAATTAAAATGTTTTATTTGATATATTAGGTACTTTGATTTGTTGTTATTTAAGGATTTGTATTATATATAATACTTCAGAAACTAGCCATAAGACCATATTTTACTCAGATATTGTGTGTTAAGCATTAAGCACTTGGTTAGGTGAAGTTTAAAGCTATGTGGTCACACCAGGAATATTGTCATTGTTATGTCCATCCCAGCATACCTTGTGCCAGGTAGGAAGTGTTTTATGAGAACATTTTCTCATGTAGCCATCTCTTGCTGGAGCAGTCGTTTCTGGAATCTTCATTGTAATGCTCCTTTTTTGCAGCTTTAAATGAAGGAATTGACCATATTTTATGCTGTGTACCAGTTCCAGTCTTTGGGTTATTTTAAGCATGCGAACTGAACCCAGAATTATTCCTAAAGTCATACAGAGATAGAATGTAAACCCTTGTAAATAACAAATATTACTGTGTTACAGAAATCAGGGCGCGAGGTGCTCAGGTTACATTTGGCTGTGTTTATTGGTGGGAATATATAGTTGGTTGTATCATTGCAAATCAGTACCATCACCTTCCATTGTGTGCAGTTACAGAGAAAGTAAAAGCCTCAACAATTAAAAATCTCCCAATTAAATAAAATGTATATTATAAATATATTTAGATTCCTAAACAACCTCAGCTCCAGAGAGATATACACACACAAAGAGGATAGGGTAAGTCTTCAGAGTAGTGGAAAGAATTTTAAAGACGAATTGGCCTTAGCAGAAATATTCCCGAGACTGTCAGGGACTTAAAGAGGCTATTTGCTAGAATTCTTCATGAAATCATGGCCCCAGATCTGATTCTTGGTATTTGTTTTTTGTAGATATTTGCAGGGCTGTTGGTAAATCTCAAAACCGTTGTGCCTTGGTTGTCTTGGCTTCAATACTTGAGCATTCCTCGATACGGCTATGCGGTATGTTCTCCCTGTCTGTCACTGTGCTGGTTCATTGTCCCCATGCTGGAAACAACCAGAATAAAGCCTCTCATGTCCCTGGTCATGAGCTGTGCAAGTTTTAGGACAATGAAGGAGAGTTTCCTATTAAGCCTTGGGTCAACTTGATAATCACCTGGGATTTCTCCAGTCACCTTGTTGTCTGAGGGAGCTGAAGGATTGGGAGATAACTCATAGTTAAGGACAAAGATTGACTAATTGATATAAAAAAATATAGTGTTTCAGTTCATCAAAGAAATTAATGAGAAGATGAGGGCCTAGAATACATATTTTAAATTGAAAGGGAAATTAGAAGAAAAACCATATCATACTCACAGCTACTATTGACTTTAGAAAGCTAATCAACTCCAGAGAAAAATGTGCCTTAATATAGTAAAATTAGATTTCTAACTCCTAAGAATTATAACTGATTTTGATGAGAACAAGAAAAATACAAAGCTTGTTACTATAAATTAACAATAATCATTGAGTATCACTGTATCATTTTAATTACAGTACCCATAAAAATGGGGAGAGAAGAAGGAAAGAGCTATGGGATAATATAGCCAGAGATCTCTCTTCTTGGTTTTTGTATTAGAGCCAAAATTCCAAACCCTAGGCCTCTTGATTGCCAGGAAAAATAATTTTAGTTGCTTTGGTATGACAAAGACTGTGAATGTGAAAGTTTGTTTTTAGAGATAACAACAGAAGTTAAACTTAGTGGACATAATTGTAATAATTCTTTGGGAACCTTTTGAAATTTAAAACTATTTTCTTTATCCTGCTCCCACTTATGTTATAGGCTTTGCAGCATAATGAATTTTTGGGACAAAACTTCTGCCCAGGAATCAATGTAACGACAAACAATACCTGTGACTATGCAATGTAAGTTTGCGTACAGTGTCATAATGGGTTTGCTTACTGTTGTGGTATGATACAGAAATACCACTGGGCTGAGGAGTCCTTTCACGGACACTGACTTCTCTGAGTCTGAATATTCTCATTTATAAAGTGAGTTATACATTAATGCATGTGAAAGTGCTCTACAACTCCTGGGTATTCTATTTAGGTCCAAATTGTATTTTACTTGGAGAACCATTTCTTATGTGTTACTTATTTGTTTGGGGTCTTTTGAAAGATCGTTTCTCAGTTTGGATTGTGGGTTTGGATTTCTATTTTTCAGAACATTTGAGTTTGAACTGAGAGCTACTTTGGTATTTTTATTAAGGCTTAACAGTACTGGAACTGTATGGATTATATGGACCCATGAATTTAGGATTCCTGTGAGCTCAACCCTCGGCCAGGGTGAAAGTGTTAGTCGCTCAGTCATTTCCGACTCTTTGCGATCTCATGGACTGTAGCCCGCCAGGTTTCTCTGTTCATGGAATTCTCTAGACAAGAATACTGGAGTGGGTAGCCATTCCCTTCTCCAGAGGATCTTTCTGACCCAGGGATCAAATCCAGGTTTCCTGCATTGCATGTGGATTCTTCACCATCTGAGCCACCAGGGAAGCCCATCCCATGGCTAGTAGTAAGAGCTAAAAGTAAGGAGCAGGAGGGAACATTTTCCTGCCTCAGTCTGGCTTTTGCCTCTTCCTAATATATCCAGGAGACAACATGAAATCAAAGTCTGCACAACCTTTTTTTTTTGACTGACTTGGAATACTCCCTACTGAAGGATGTTTCCTCTAAAGAAAGGAACATATATTTCAGTAAGCTTGAGAAGGAAATCTCATTTTTTTTGGTATAATAAGCAAAACCAGATTTTAATAGAAATAAAGGTATTGTTTTAAAGTTAAGTAACACTTCCTTTTGATGATTGTTGTTTATGGTTTGATTTTGATATGTTAATTAATGAGAGAAAAGAGAATGCTGGTATCCTAAATCTCATGAATATTCAAGTGGGTTAGAAGTAATTCTTAATAATAGGACAAATTGCTATTTAGAAGTATTGCCAGAAAACCTCTGTGAAGAGAAGCTTTCCTTATCCTGCCTACTCCCTTTCTTTTGATCTGAATATAACATTTTTTTTTTCCAATCTGCTAAATTCCAAGAGTAGCAGAAAAATGGAATCAGGTAATAATTATGGTTGTGCCAGATATTTTTAATACCAGGTGCTTTTCTAACCAGGCCCACTCCATCCTATTCTGCTCTGTTCCAGCTCCCACTAAGGCATACCTAATAATTTGACCTGCTGGTAATGTCTTAGAGCCGAGCATCTGTGATACTCATTCCAGTCTTGGTGTAAGAGCTGACAGTGCAACTCTGGTAGGAAGCCTCTATTCACCTGTTCCCCTAGTTTTAGAACTCTCAGCCTGTGGTTTTTCTTTTTTTTTTTTTGTATGGCTGATTTGTGAGTAATGAGCCCTATAAACAGCTTTGGTCATCTTTGTAACTGCCTTCAGTATCATCTGCTAAAGCTGAGACTTTCCCCATCAGGCGTAAGTGAAAAATTACTTGATAAATGTTTCTGTCCTTTGAAGAGAGGCAGCATCGTAGACTTGGAAACCAACCTATTTGGGGAGACTAGCAACTTGATTCAAAGTGTGAATCTGTGAAGTTGACCAAATTTCTTAAACTTTAGTCTCCTCATCTTTTAAATTTGGATTGTTTTAGGGGTTAACTAAACTGTTACATGGGAGCTTCCCAGGTGGTACACTGGTAAAGAATTCGCCTGCCAATGCAGGAGATACAAGAGATGTGAGTTTTATCCTTGGGTCGGGAAGATCCCCTGGAGAAAGAAATGGCAGCCCACTCCAGTATTCTTTCCTGGGAAGTCCCATGGATAGAGAAGCCTGGGGGGCTACAGTCCATGGCGTTGCAAAGAGCCAGACATGACTTAGCAACTAAACACATACACACACAAACTATTATGTGCAGGTTGCTTCATAGTATCTAACAGAATTATAAGCACTCAATGACTGTTTTCTGTGTATTTTAATGATGCATATGACTGACCTATGAACCCCTGTTATATCCCAATAAAATAGAATGATAAAGCTAAAACCACGTACACACATACACACACACACACTCACACCACAAAACCCCTCTAAAACTGTTTTCTATTATAAATGAAGGGATGGTTATTTAAGACTTAGTAACCTGTAGGTTTCTTTAAGGAACAGTGAATATATTGAGTAAAATTTGACAGATGCTAAAAATGAAGTCATATTCTTTTTCTGTTGAATTTCAGATGTACTGGAGAAGAATTCCTGACAAACCAGGGCATAGATATCTCGCCATGGGGCCTATGGAAGAATCACGTAGCCTTGGCATGCATGATTGTTGTCTTCCTTACAATTGCCTACTTGAAATTGTTATTCCTTAAAAAATTTTCTTAAATTCCTCTTAAATTTCAATGATTTACCCCCCATTAAAAAGGGACATCTTGATTTTCATATCCAGTGAAGTTTTTTTGGTTGTTTTCATCTTTTTATTTATTTATTTATATTATGCCCTTGTGTTTTATTATGTTTGGTTGTCTTCTTTTCACTTGCCTCATACTGTTGTTCAGCAAGAATTATTTTCAACAGAAACATTTATAGAAATCACAATGAACTAAATTATACTTGAAAGAACCCACGTCATAAACTAGTGATATTATGTACTACATATTAGTTCATCTTGTCAGACAGTAACCATAGGAAAGAAATCTAATTTAATTTACTGACCTGAAAAAGAAACGAGTTCTAGAAACTTGTGTTAAGTTACTAATATATCTGGTATTGGTATCCTTCCCTTTAAAATGAATAGGCAGGCTAGTGGCCCTCCAGTTTCAATATTATATAAACCTATGTTCTCCATTATTTTATAAATAATAAATAACAAATACATTGATGCTGTAGTAGAAGTATGAAATCCAAACCATGCTGGAAAAACATGGTGTCATATATGGATAAAAAAGCCTTTATAATAGAAAGCACTTTAATAAGCTTTTTAAAGTTATTAGAATTTACTGAGGTTTCCCTCTAGTGGAATTAAGTATCTCAAGAGTCCTTGGAGAAGGAAATGGCAACCCACTCCAGTGTTCTTGCCTGGAGAATCCCAGGGATGGGGTCGCACAGAGTCGGACATGACTGAAGTGACTTAGCAGTAAAGTCTACTACTACTTTATTTAGAGGATAGGTGTAAGTGAGAGCAGGAGAGAGTGGGGTAGACACGCCTGTCCCTGCTTTCCTCATCCCATCTGGACCCTTCTTTGCCCTGGAATCTATTCCTCCCTTTCCCCAGCAGTCTATTTATTAACTAGCAAGAGGGCAAATAAGGGATCTTCTAGGATTGATTTTGCTAATTTTTTGAGAATACCGAGCACCATTTCACCATATTCTGTACCCTTATCTGACAATCCCTCCCAGAACTGAGTTTTCTTTTCATCCAGGGTTCAGAAGGAAAAACAAAAAACAAATCATATCGTCACACACCAATAAAAAGTAAGCTGTCCAGATGGAAATAAAATCTAATTAGGCAATAAAGGTAGAGATTGTGAAACGGTTCAGTACGAATGAAAAAAAAAAAAAAAAAGAGTCTTAGCTGGGTTTTGTACCCCAGGTGTAGAGGGCCAGGATTCTGGCAATTTACCCTTCTTGAGTAGTTCAGTAGTCTGTAATCTTGGTGTGCATCATAATCTCTTGAGGAATTTTGCTCCAACATAGATCTCAGGGTCCTATGAGCCCTACTGGATTGTAATCGCCAGGATTACCTGTGTAAAGAACTGTCCACGGCAGGATTTGGTAATTCCCATGATCTTTCCCAGCTCTAAAAATTTTAGACTTATGATAGAAGAACTGTTGTAACTGGCTCTATACAGGTTTTTTACCTTCCTACATATACACCTCATATATTTACACAGCTTCTCTTTATTCTAACATTTACCAGTATTAGGGGAGTGTTTTTAAACATTTTTTATAGGGAGAGGTACTAGCCAGTGAATTATAAAAGGAACACACCTGTACAACCATTAATCCATATCAAGAAATAGAACATTATCAGTGCACAGAAGCCCACCTTGGGCTTCTCTCCCAAGACTACTACTCCTTTCTCTCTGGATTATTTTTGAAATGACACTTGTGCACTCCTGTCTGTTGCTACTATCCGAATATCACTACAGCTCAGTTTTGTGTTTCTGTGTGTATAAATATATCCTTAATTAAGCCCCCTACTTCTTTAATATAAGCTATTCATTTTGTAATTATTTTAGTTTTATAGAAAAGTTGCAAAAATCATACAAAAAGGTCCTATATATCCTTTGCCCAGCTTCCTTTAATGTTAACATTTTGTGTACCATGATACATGTCAAAACTAAGAAATTGACACTGATACATTACTGTTAAACTACACACTTTATTCAGATTTCACTACGTTTCCATCAGTATTCTTTAATTGTTCTAGGATGCAGTTCAGGATATTCTGTTTAATTTATTCCCTTTGTAAAAGTAAATACTTTTCAGTGTTATAGGGAGTAAGTGAAGCCGAGGAAACAGTGTGTAGACCTGCTATGACCGGTCATCTTGGAATATCAGTTCATGTCAGTGGGTGCCCTGCCATGTTGTTGCAACATCAATCCAGGGACATAGCATTATAGTTTCATCTTTGAACTTTAAGGAAATTTTTTCTTGTTTTATGACATTGGATTAATACATCATCTTGCAATACATGATCACACCCCCTTTTTACCTGATTATTGTGTGACTATAGGACCACCAACAAAGATTCGTCTAGTCAAAGCTATGGTTTTTCCAGTAGTTGTGTATGGATGTGAGTTGAACTATAAAGAAAACTGAGTGCCAAAGAATTGATGCTTTTGAACTGGTGTTGGAGAAGACTGTTGAATGTCCCTTGGAGTACAAGGAAATCCAACCAGTCAATCCTAAAGAAAATCAGTACTGAATATTCATTGGAAGGACTGATGCTGAAGCTGAAGCTCCAATACTTTGGTCACCTGAGCGAAGAACTGACTCATTAGAAAAGACCCTGATTGGGAAAGATTGAAGTTAGGAGGAGAAGGGGATGACAGAGGTTGAGATGGTTGGATGGCATCACTGACACCATGGATATGAGTTTGAGCAAGCTCTGGGAGTTGGTGATGGACAAGGAAGCCTGGCGTGCTGTAGTCCATGGGGTCTCAAAGAGTTGGACACAACTGAGTGAATGAATGAACTGATAGGGTTAGTGAGTTTTTTCCTCTTCTTAGTATAGTTCTTTCTTTTTATATAACCCTGGCTTACTCACAGTTCTCTGTATATACTCTTCCTTACACAGGAAGAAACATATGACACAGTTCTCTGTGTACAGACAGAAATACATATACTTTATAAACAAAAGAGATAGTAAAGCCAAAATATTAATACCTACTTCTAAAAGTAGTAAGAATTTAAATATATCTTGTCCTACTTACCCTCCCTTTGTATTACGATTATCTTTTTTCTTTTTTAAATTATTATGGTAAGAAACACATAAAATTTACCGTCTTAACCATTTTTAAGTTGAGGAACATTTTAAAAAGTATAGGACCTCCCTGGTAGACCAGTGGGTAAGAATCCACCTTCCAATGAAGGGGACGTGGGTTCAACCCCTTGTCAGGGAACTAAGATCCCACAAATCCGCAAGCTGCACACCATTAAAAATCCCTCAGGCTGCAACTAAGACCCAATACAGTCAAATAAACACTTTTTAAAAATGTAGTGAAAGGGTAAGTCTTATAAAATAGAAAATAAATTTTTTACAGAGGTTTATTTCAGAATATGTCTATATTCTTTTGAATTTTGATTTTATTTTCTTACATGTCAGAAGAACTAGTTAATAATGAAAAGGATAAATAAATCACTTTCATTCAAAATAAAAGCCACCAGGCTGTTAAACCCACGAATAGCCTTCTTCCTTCCATCCTTTTTTTATAACAACATCCAAGATGCCACAGAACCTTCCAGAGCAAGTCATCTCGCACTCTTCTTTGAAATCCCACTGAACAACTGAAGGAGTAAAAATAATAGCCAACATTCATTTATTCCTGAGGATTTAAGACTAATTTTTTAAAAAAGACTAATTCAAAGGATATCTACTCCATTCATAGGAGTTCGTTAAGCTAACCTGAATAGTTGCGACAGCTTCCCTGGTAGCTCAGCTGGTAAAGAATCTGCCCGCAATGCAGGAGACCCCGATTTGACCCCTGGGTTGGGAAGATCCCCTGGAGAAGGGAACGGCTACCCACTCCAGTATTCTGGCCTGGAGAATTCCACGGACTGTACAGTCCATGGGATTGCAAAGAGTCAGACACAACTGAGCATCTTTAAAAAAAGAAAAGAGAAAACAGTGCAGGAGAAAATCAGTATCCTCACCTCACCCTCAAAAGTATGTCTTTATCCTCAGTGGACTAAAGAGCCCAAAGGAAAAATACCTGGAACTCCACCAAACATGGCTACCAACTTAATGTACCTCCTGGCCTTCTGTCTCTATATGCACATTTTTAAAAAAGTGGTTGACTCACATGGTGATTGTAACCTTTTGTCACCACTGAGCAATATGAACATTGAATACTTATGTTCTAAATCAAAATAACTCATTTTCTAGACATTTTCTTGACTTTTTTTTTTTTTTTTTTTTGCTGTTACTTAGGGTAACAGCAAAAAATAAAATAAAATAAAATAATACTGGGGAATACTGGGTTCTCCAGTATTCTTGCCTAGAGAATCCTGTGGACAGAGGAGTCTGGTGGGCTGCCGTCTATGGGGTTACACAGAGTCGGACACGACTGAAACGACTTAGCGTGCTGGATGCATTGGAGAAAGAAATAGCAACCCATTCCAGAATTCTTGCCTGGAGAATCCCAGGGACAGAGGAGCCTGGTGGGCTGCCGTCTGTAGGGTTGGAGAGTTGGACACGACTGAAGTGACGCAGCAGCAGCAGGGCAGGGTTTCCCAAGCTTGCCTGATAAGAATCAAGATCATCTGAGATGCTTATGTAAGAAAGGAAAAAAGTTAAGAACTATTGGTTTTTTTCCCCTGTTGACTTAGAATCTCTGAGGAGTGGACCTGGAAATTCGAGGTGATTCTTCGGGAAACACTGAGGGTTGTAATAAGGAGTTAAGACCATTTAACCTACATTTGTGATGATTTAATTTTGATGCAAGAATCACTGTATAATGTGTGTGTTCTAAGCCATCTATCTTGTATCCACCTAAGTATCAGAATCACATTTAGAACTAAGTGAGCTCACTATCATTATTGGATCTTGAAATCTTTTTAATCTGCAGAATCTTTCTTTTACCTGGAAACCCCACAGAACAGCAGGCATGGGTTTCTGATCATGAGAGCTGAAAGGAGTACTGCTCACATCAGTGAGGATGTGGCCTCTCGGTTTGCCCGCCTTTCCAAGCTGTAAAGCTGAGGCATCATCTCAATGATTAAAGGGAATGATTTAAGGACTTTGGGCTTGGCCGTACACTGTTTAGAAAATCTCAAGCTGTTCTGTCTTCATTTTGCAGATGAGGAAATTTGAGTTTCAGAAATTGTGACTAGCCCAATAATTTGTGACAGATGAGCAGTATTTCCTTGCTGAGATTTGGAACATACTACAATAGTACCAGCACCCAGTCTGTGGGGCGGGGTGTCATTTTTGCAAATACGTGCAGAAGCCAAGCATGTGCAAAACTGTTTATCTTTACAATTACTTATGCAAAATTTTCCACTACTTCCCCCTTTGTCCTTTCTCCATTTATCAGGTCTGTGGACTTGATTTATTTAACTTAGTCTGTATCTTTTCTTATCCACGAAATAGGGATCCTCATAGCATCTACCTCCATAGAGGTGTGAAGATTAAATAAAGTAATCCATGTAAAGTGACTAGAAGTACCTGGCACATAGGATGTGCTCAATACATTTTAGTGATTACTATCATATTCCATAGGACATCACAATGGCTATTGGCATCATGCTAATGCCAGATCATGCCTGACCTCTGTGGCAGGGACTGGAGTAGTGCCATCCACCAGGATGTGTTCTATGCATCAAATCAGGGTCAAATCCAGCCCATTGCCTATTTTTTGTAAATAAAATTTTACTGGAACATAGCTCTGCTCATTCATATTTGTATTGTTTGTGATCACTTTCACACCATGATGGCAAGGTAGTTGCGATGGAGAGAACATCATGGCCTATAAAACCTAAAATGTTTACTATGTGGCCCTTTAAGAAAAGGTTGTAGACCCCTGCATTCAACTTAAGAGTGCTTCAACTGTTCAACAAGTATGATTTATGTAAGATTAATTTGTAAAAAAAAAAAAGTAGCAATTTTCCTTTATTTCATCAATAACAAACTTGAAAATTTAATGGAAGATAAGATACTGTTCATGGTAGCAATAAAATCATTAAAGAATGCATAAAGTCTTTAAGAAATTTAAAGAAACACTTAAAGGGTATTAAGGAAGTTCTGAATAAATGAAGAGTTACATCAGGACTTGGCTGGTGGTCCAGTGGCTAAGACTCTGTGCTCCCATGCAGGAGACCCAAGCTCTATCCCTGGTCAGGGAACTAGATCCCACATGCTGCAAATGAGAGTTCACACGCCACATCTAAGACTTGGAACAGCCAAATAAATAAATAAAAACGGAGAGTTATGTTTCTGATGCTATAAAGAGGCCAGTTCTCCTCAAACTAATCAATAAGTTCAATGCAATTCAATTAACTTTAAGCAGGACTTTTCCCCCTTTCTTTCCTCCTCCCCCACTCAAATGCCCAGAAACCCATCAAACCCTGTCTAACATTTATATGGAAAAATAACTGTTGATGAAAATAGTCTAGTTGATAAAATGAGGGCCAAAGAGGAGAATATATATGAAAACCTTAGTACATATGAAGGAAGATACACTACAAACTCAATAATAAAAATTACTATACAGGAACATTCATAGATCAGTTTAAAGGATTAAAAAATAGACACATGTGTATTAACATGACCTGAAATACATCAGGGATGCCATGAAATCATGAGGAAAATGACTTTATTAGTTTAATAGAGTGTTGACAAACTGGCTCAGTTATATAGTAAAAAACTCCTATGGACCTTATGCAAACTTACTCAAGATTTATTAAATGTGAAAATAAAACTATATGTTTAATAAGTTTGTGACCTTACAAAGGTCTCTTTAAAATCCCCAAGCACAATAAAGCAAAAAGAAATTTCTTTTGATGGATATCACTACATGTAGTGTTAAGTAACTTCCCTGGTGGCTTAGATGGTAAAGAATCTGCCTGGAGTGTGGGAGACCTGGGTTCGATCCCTGGGTTGGGAAGATCCCCTGAAGAAGGGAATAACAACCCATTCCAGTATTCTTGCCTGGAGAATTCCATGGACATAGGAGCCTGGTGAGCTACAGTCTATGGGATTACAGAGTTGGACACGACTGAGCAACTAAAAAATAAGTAACAAGCATCACTACATGAAAGCTAAGGAAACCTCGAAACAATTATCAGTCAGATGAGATATATTAAGAGTCCAAAACCAATAAAGGATTAATAATTAAGCCACATGAGGAACTTACGCTAATCAACAAAAAAGATCATGACTCAGTGAAAAATGGGCACTGAACAAAAAACACACCTGTTTCCTGTTAGATCAAAGTGTACTATTTTAAAGATTTGAACAGGCAATTTACAAAAAGGGAAATTCATAAGGCAGTGTTCAGTCTTACTAAGATTCAGAGAAATGCCAAATAGACTGACCTATTTCAAAACCATTCCATTACAAAGATTTTGGGAAGCTGGATGGTCTCAATGCTGGTAAGGGTGTGGGTAGAACTGGTACTTTCATGCTTGTAGTGAAATTGTAGACTACTGCAGTTATTCTGGAGAGCAACCTGACAGTCCTGGTAAAATTAAATATGTGCCGGGGACTCAACATTCCAACTCTTTTCATGTACCCACTGAGGAAAGAGTGAAAAGTCAGGAAGGGAATTATGAACAAAGATTTTGAAATAGCAGAAATATTGGCGCCAATCAGAATGGTTAAGTACAATGTGGTGGCTGTACACTAGGAAATATTATGTAATCATTAGAATAATTTACTAGAGGTACATCCTACAGAAAAAGTAATGTGTCCATTGTTGTTTTTGAACATAAAAAGATACCTTTTTCAAAGTTTAAGTTTTTACTATTAGTCTCATGATAGAAGACAAATTACCCAACTGCTTCTACTTAAGAAACAGACCAACTCTTATATCTGCTATTATATCAAGTCTTTATTAAGAAGTAAAGTGCTCAGTATTACACATTAATGAAATTCCCAATTATTGAGACTTACATATGTAACAGTTTCTTAATAGTACCAATATAAAGAGGAAGATGATAGGGGAGGGACGAGGTGGAAATTCTTCAGGACTAAAGAAGAAAAATGTGTAACTTATGGGTAAAAAGAAAGAACTTTGCAAATTTTTTCAGGTGAAAAAACAGAATAATAATAAGTATCATAAAAAGACTTTCTAGTGACCATAATTGGTATATGGCACATGGTCAATACACATGGATACCACATAATAGGTGCACTTCAAATTGAAGCTTGTTTACATGTAACAACATGGTACACGTACATAAATACGTACACTCAATATCCCTGGAATGCAAATTTTAGTACCTAATAATAAAGAACTTTATTCAAAAAAAATATTCAAAAGAAAGCAAAGATGGAGATGAGCCATAAGAAATAACTGTTAAAGAAACGCTACCTGTATCACTTCTGTAAAAGACAGCTAAAAAGGTTTTTTCGCTCATGTTTTCTTTGAAAATTTGACTGACAAAGTCTACCAGTTAAATAAGCAACTATGTGAATTTAAGCTATAGTATGAGAAACAAGTCTCTTTGCTATTCTCCAAGTGAGAATTATTCACCAGTGCATTCTCTTTGCTTGTCTCATTAGCTCTCAAAAGGTCACCATACATAACAATTTTGAAAAATAAGATTTTTAGTTTTTGTAAAGAAATAGATTTATTCCCCATAAATTTGGTGAGCCTCTCTCCTAATGAAAAAAAGAGAGGAAAAAAACCCCTGCAAACTCAAACTTTGGCTGATACCTTCTGATGATGGTTGAACTTTCAATAACCAAAACTCCTTTTCATTAAAATGAATCCCACTTAGGTTATAAATTCTAATTTTGAAATGTAGGATCAAGAGTATTTGAGTTCTGTATTCTTAAAACAGTCTAAAACTCAAGTCTTAGATTTATAATATTTTATATGAATTTCAAATTTTCTTAATATTTTGTTTAAAATGAGCATATTTGCTGACTCAAAACTTTTGATACATCCTAAAAATTTTAGTAAGTTGATCTTCCTAGATTAGTTGCAAATAAGTTCAGCCACATGAGCAAAAGACTATACAGATAAATCTTTATACTACACTAATTATTAGGAAAACATCAAATTTAGTGATTTGGTGCCTTCGAATTCTTCTGTTATTGTCAGATATGACATTTAACTCATAATTAATCTTTGATGGTTTCATGCAGCTCATTTTAAATGAGAGTGAAAATAGTGTAAAAATTAAGTGAAATGGTTAGTCCCACAGGCATTAGATATGATAAAATAACAAAAAAAAAATAGTGTTCAACATTTATCATAACCATTCATACAAATTCTAGCATAATGACTACATACCCATTGTATGGTTTGGGGTTCTTTCCCAATTTTAGAAAAGTGTACCCCAGGAAGGTAGTTAAAATAGAAGCCTCCTTTCTTAAAAGAAAGCTATGCATTAAGCCTATGAGCTAAGCCTGAGTGGAAAGGAATGCCCCTATTTTCCCTTCACACACTTAGCAAAAATGACAATACTGATTTTCGTGATTGGAAGTAAAACTCAGAAGCCTTTTGACAGTTCTCTTCTAGCTTTAAAAGGCTACTTCATTGTCAACTGAGGAGACTCAGTCATGGTAACAAGTGGGCACACCACTCAATATACTTTACAAACAATTTTTTTCCGTACTCAATATTTACACCTGGATTTCTTATATGAGAAAAAGAAACATCTTCTTTGATCATGGGCAAAGTTTATCTAAAATAAATTAAAGTGCAGAAGAATTAATAATTGGTCACAAAGACCAGCATCATATGGTGGTCAGGGCATATAAATAGTGTACTTGTTATGGCAACTCAAGACAGGCACCTTCTCACCTATTAAGAACACATGTCCTACACATGAATATTGGCACTCCCGTTTCCACCTCCACCTTCCATTCCTTCCGTAGACTGGGAGGAAGAAGGGCGAGAGCTCCTGGGGCGTGACTGACCATTTAGTCCTAAGGGTGTGCCTAAACCATGACTTATTTGGGAAGCTGCATCGTCAGATTCCCAGCGTTCCAACTCTTCTCGCACAAGCCGTTCCATCTGTTCCCTGTGGATTTCATTGTCACGACCCAGCCTTTCATCCTAATGAAGGAAAAAGAAAACAAGATGTTGAGGTGGACTGATGTATACTCTTGATTTAGGAATTGCCTTCAGAAGTCTGGGGATCCAATAATCCCACTTAGGTAAGGCTAGAACAAAACCAGTCTTAACAGCAATTTTCAGAATCACTGGAGCAATTTTTTTTTTTGAGGAGGAGGTTCCAGTGAAGGCAGTATCATCAGTGTGAAGAGTATTAAGAAAGCAACACCTCTGGATTATCACTTTATCTGCACTGATTTGCACATATGGAGAAAAACATCCTCTTAGATTAAGGGTTACTTAAACTATGACCTTGATATTTTACAGAATCAGGGTGTTTCTGTTTCAGATGACCACTAACCTCAGCCACTCCATCCAGCAGCCTTCCCAGCACCTCCCTTCTCTTCAGTTTGGCTCGCTCCATGATCTCAAGCTTCACTATCACAGCATCAATCTTGGACACGATGCTGCCGATGGAGTGCTCCATCCGGTCCACTCGTCTCACTAGGCTGCAGGAAACCACAGTTGAGAGGGACAAAAACATCTTGTTGTTGTTGACTTAGCAGCCCAGTTGGCATATCGAATGGAAATGCTAAGATTTTTTCCTTAATCAATATTATAATCTAAAACACTTTCTAAATAGTCTAGAACTTTAGAGATTTTTCATACACTGCTGGTGGGAATGCCAACTGGCACAATTCTTTTGCAAATCAGATTTTATCAGAAGTATGTCTACCATAGAAGGTATGCCTATCCTTTCTTTCAGATATTCCATTTTTTTCTGAAAAGTTTTTTTTTTTATTAAACTTTTTATTTTATATTGGGGGAACTGCCAATGCTGGAGACAAGGGTTCAATCCCTGGGTCAGGAAGATCCCCTGGAGAAGGACATGGCAACCCACTTCAGTATTCTTGCCTGGGAAATCCCATGGATGGAGGAGCCTGGTGGGTTATAGTCCATGGGATCACAAAAAAAGTCCAATACAATTTAGCAACTAAACAATAGGCAATTAACAATGTTGTGATAGTTTCAGGAGAACAACAAAGGGATTCGGCCATACATATACATGTATCTATTCTCCCTGAAACGCTCTTCCTATCCAGGCTGTCCTTTGAGAAGTTTTAAAGGAAATAAGTATATGTGTAATTTCTGACTACAAGGATATTCTCTGGGGTTCTGCTTATTAATAGTAGGTCATTAAAATGGCTAAACATTTATAGAAGATTGCTTAAATATATTATTGTTTGTTTACACAATAAAATTCGAAGACACCAGAAATTATATTGTGACAGAATGTTTCATGCAATAGAATGGTGTTCACATTCTAATTATGAAATAGAATGACACTATTTATAATGTAAATAAAGCAGTTAGAAAACAGTATGCTCACTTATGATACCATTTTTTTGAATAAACACAATGTTATATAAATACTTTTAAAAAAGGAGACAAAACTTTTGGAATGGTAGCATGAGGGCCCTGGAGGACCTCTCCCCATTGAAACAACCATAACTGTTGAAAATTACTAATTTTTTAAAAAATTGCTGGAAATTTTCTTAAGGGCATAGAATAAGAAGCTTTTATTTTTTGAGTAATATTTGAACTACAATCTGCTCTCTCTCTCCTGCTCCCTAGCTCAGCATGATAGAGCTCTTCTAGGGGCGCATGCGTGCTCACTCACTCATGTCCAACTCTTGGTGACCCCATGGACTCAAATCTGAAAAGCTCCTCTGTCCATGGCATTCTCCAGACAAGAATACTGGAGTGGGTTGCCATGCTCTCCTCCAAGGGATTTTCCTGACTCAGGGATTGAACTTGTGTCTCCTGAATCAGCAAGGGGATTCTTTACCACCTCCAGGGGTGGGTCAGCAAAGAACACCCAGCCCTCTCATGTCAGCTCCTATTGGAGGGCTATACTTATTTCCCAGGAAAGGTCAGGCTGTCAGTATTTCTCATCCCTGTACCTCCACCTCCAAATCTACACTGCAGAGACTCTAATTCAGACAAGAATGGCTGAAGAGTTGGGATTCTTTTCTTCCACTCAACTTCCAGCTGGAGGGTAGACTGTTCCATGCTCAGAAAGGTAAGCTGAGAACACCAAAGGCTCATGCCTTGTTCATGAAGCAGGGGTGTCATTGTGAGAGAAATGGCCCATTAGCTCTGGAGCGTGACACCAAGGTTTTGCCTGGAAGGAGAGTCAGGCCACAGAATGAAGCTCCAAAGCTTCCCCAAGTGAACTGGCTTTATTTGGAACAAATTTTCGGGAAATTTAAGCCTAAGGGTGTTCTTGAAAACAATGGAGACTGTGGTGATAAGCAGTTAAGACGAGGCTGGTCACTTCATGAGATCATCAAGTTAAACCATTTACCAGCTAGTTTACCAGAGAGAACCAGGAAAGAGAAATCAGCCAAAGACTGGCTTCAAAAACTCCCCCTGAGAAGGCACCTGAATTTCACTGGATCAGACTGTGGAGCAATTTGTATCCCAAGGTATTGATGAAAATCACAGACCAATCAGCCAACAATTATGAGAACTGAAGGGGCAGCTGGCTTAACAGAGGGACCAGGGGAAGACCTGCAAGTCCTGTCTCCCCAGGATAACTGTGTGCGTGGTCCGGGCTGTGACCTCTGAGAAGTGACACTGTAGGTTCACAATGTGGGGGAACTAGACGTCACTAAAAGACAAATATACAAATGACAGCAAAAACAAGCTCTGAGGGGAAGGGGAATTTATAAGTATTTTTTATATTATTTAACATCTCCAGTTTTCAAAAAAAATTATGAGACACACAAAGAAACATGAAAATGTGACCCAAACACAGGGGGAAAAAAAGCAGGCAACAGAAACTGCCTTTGAGTGGGCCCAGATAGACTCAGTAGACAAAGCAGTCCACAGAGCTATTATAAATATATCCAAAGAACTAAGCTAAGTCATGTATAAAAATAAAAAATAAAGGGCACTGTGATGACACTGCCTCATCACAGAGAAAATATCAACAAAGGAGAGAAATTGTTAAAAAGAACTAAATAGAAATTCTGGAGTTGAAAAGAGTAAGAAATGAAAAATTCCTATAATAAACAAATTACTTTCAAGAGAAAAGAACACCAATAATATTTATTAAAAAGAACTGATAATTAGTCATGGAAAAGACAAAATGAGAGCGGTGGGAGAAACTAGTTAGTGTCATTTTGACTCTTGTTTACTCAAGTGAATTAGTGAGTGAAAGTCGCTCAGTTGTATCTGACTCTTTGCCACCCCACACACTACACAGTCCATGGAATTCTCCAGGCCAGAATACTGGAATGGGTAGCCATGCCCTCCTCCAGAGGATCTTCCCAACCCAGGGATCAAACCCAGGTATCCCACATTGCAGGTGGATTCTTTACCAGCTGAGCCAAACAGGAAGCCCCTTGTCAACTCAAATGATCATTTCCTCAATACTTACACTTGAAACTCTTCATAAGAAACCCCACTGGAGACGCTGCCCCTCCTTCTGGAGCTATGCCCACTGTCGTCGTCGTCCTCCTCCTCAGAGTCATCCAGGCTTCGAGGGAAGCTTCGGCTGCTCACGGGACGTGGTAAAGAGCTGGGACCCAGGTCAAGGTCCTCCTGAACAACACGGGATCGCTGAGTGACGGGCAGGAAGCCCTCGGCCCCACAGAAGCTTCATGAGGACTGGGGCAAGCGGGAAATGGGTGTGTGCCATTTACCTAGGATTCCTGTGAGGTTAACACCTGACTGTGATCCTCACACCTTTTAATTTCATGTATTGGCAAGTGTTCCAAATAGATTTTAATGACCAGCAAGAAGTTGCTAACTTCTTGTCTGGACAAGAAAGAACAGTAAAAATACAGAAAAGCAAAGAAAAAAGTAAATGAAGAAATATGTTTTCACCTTTTCATAAAAGTGAACACATGTAATAGCTACAAAAGGAATGAAGGATACCATCTCAGAGTAAGAATTTTGACTAAATAACAGCCATGTGAAACTATTATCCGTTGTCTGCTTGCTCATATTTCACTATGACTGCTGAAGTTTTTCCACTTATGGGCATTGTTTTGTGGAGCAGTATTTTGAAACCCCTGTTCTATATTGTCTCCTCATAGGAATTAACTTTTGTGTAACATTCATTTGTATTCTCTGTATTTCAATTAGCATGGATTTTCTGGGGTTTAACTATTTTTAAAATTAATGTTAAAACTTTAAATTATTTTTCCTGATTATAAAAGCTCATGTAAGCTTATTTTTTTTTTTTTGTAAGCTTATTTTTAACAGTTTCATAGTAAGTATTCAAATGGAAGGCAGTGGTTAGTTTTATTATACATGATAATTTAAAGAACAACTAAATTTATCTCTTCTGAGAAATCTTTTTTCCCTATTCTCCTGGACACTGTGAAGTATGTAACTACTGAAAGTTTTCCTCAAGTGGGTTACTAGAAAACTTAGGGCTTTCTGCTGCTCAATCTTATTAGCCATGACAGGGAGCTCAACCTGGTGCTCTGTGATAGCCTGGAGGGGTGGGATGTGGGTAGCAGGAGTGAGGTTCAGGAGGGAGGGGGTATATGTATACTTATGGTTGATTCATGCTTCTGTACAGCAGAAACCAATTCAACATTATAAAGTAACTATCGTCCAATTAAAAATAAATTAAAAAATTAAAATTAAAAAAGTCTATTTTTTGTGAAGTGCATTTTTTAGTTTCATTCAGGCTTGCCTTTATATCTCAGCTTTGTTCTGCTTCACTCTTTTTTTTCTAAATTTATGCTAACTTAATGCATTTCAATATATTACAGTGTTATATATCCTTTTTGGAGTAGGCAGGGTACTACTATATCAATGGAGATAGAGAGAGAGAGAGAGGGAAGGAGAGAGAGACACATATGCTCACACCCACTACTTAATAAGCTGTTTGAAATGTTGCAGGTGCTGAACCAATCACGTTCTTCTAAACCAGACCCACCCTCTCTTTTTCCAAGTCGTCTCGCATCTGCTGGTGCTCATGTTCAGTCAGTTCCTGGTCTCCATCCTGGTCATATTTTGTGAATATTGCCTCAATCTCTGCATCAGTATGGCCCTTCCTGAAATTAGTGAGAGGTTACAGATGAACTCATCCATTCACACGATCCATCCCAAACACAGCCATACTGACATGCGGGAGGAAAGGAGAAACTGCTGAGTCAGGGCCCGTCCTCCTCTTAAATACATTTCAGAAAGACACCCACCTCTGAAACAAATGTGTCTCTATGAGTACTTGGGCTAGAAGGAGATTTAGCACTAAGGATTTATCTTTACATGAGGACTTTCCCAGCACTGGCAAATTGAGATTCTTACCCTTTGAGATCTTGCCGAAGTTCATCAAAGTTTAACTTGCCTCCCCCTTGCCGCAGACTCTCTGATATGTCATCCACAGTGTTTTTCTTCAGTTTTAGTTTGATCAAGGCTTTATGGTAACCCTGCCAGAAAGAAAGACTGTTTTAGTTTATCCTCCTTTTTCATCTGTTCTGTCTGTCAATTACAGTGGTAACTAATGTAAACGCAGTGACCAGAACAGCATCTGACATAAATGGACCACAAAACAGGTGTGGGTTGGATAAATGACAAACGCACCCTGAGTTTTCCATGAAGCTCATGTGGGAGAGTTATGTGGGAAGAGTCAGGTCTTTCAGTAAATGAAGAAGAACTAGGGATCTTTTGGTTTGTATTCAAGTTTAGTGTACAGGACGAAAGTCAGTACATTCCACAGCTGTCTGCCTCAGAGTATGTAGGAATGTGCAGTAGTTCTTAAGAAAACTAAGAAACCTGAGTCATAGATTAATTATTTTCTATATTATCTTACAGTTGATAATTTCCTTTCATAGGTCATGAGTGTAAAAAACACTTCAGTGACAAGGAGACGAGGATTTTTCACTATATACTGCAGTCCTTGCTATACATGGCAGTGCGGGGCTGTAGAAAAGACAGTGCAACTGTGTGAGGCAATGTTAATTAATCAATGAGAAAAATTATGACTGTTCTGTGACCTTTGAAACTTTTGTTAAAACATTAAAAACTCCCTCAGTGTAGGCTACAAATTTATGGGGACATTTTAAAAAAGAGTAAAATGATTATTTTAGTACACTGACGCTTTAAACAGTAGAAACATTGAAAATTGAAGTTTTATTTCTTTGTAAGAAACTTATTCAGAGTACTCCAAACAATACTTGCCTTCTTGTTGTTACTGTATAACATACACTATTAAGTGAACATATTTTCTATGTCTTGGTGAGTTATAATCCTTTCTTAACCTGGATCAGCTTCCAATATTTTATCCCTTGCACTTCCAAAGTTGTGAAGTATCTCTGAGAGTCCCTTTAAAGTGAAATTAGTTTGCCAGCATCAAGACATCTTCATCCTATTTGTCACAATCTCTTTCCTCATTTATGTTAATAAACATACCTTCACTAGTCCTTCTGGCTGCTCTCAAGCTCTTGAAGTCAACACTCCCATGGCCAGCTACGTATTTCTTTTAAAAATCCATTGTTTGTTTTTAATTTCATTCCAGTGTTATCATTCTTTGTCTCTTTGCTATACTTTGTTCTTCGCTGGCCTATTCTTTTAATTATGCATATTTATAAAATGTCACATGGGTTTATCACTGGGAGATTAGGAGGCAATATGACTATAACCTTTGTGCATAAACTGAATAGCAGATGATCAGGGACCAACCCTTGACTCTGAAAGAAGTGACATTATGAGTCACTGATGATGATGCACATTTGTTATTTATGTAATGACTTACAGAGCTGGTAGTGAAGTTTGTCCTTCCTGCTATTATTCACAGTTACTATGCTATGATAACTGAAATATACTATGATAACTGAAAGTGAAGTTTGTACTGTATGTTATTACTTGGTCAGTATACTGTAATAACTGAAATTTGAACTGTGTTTAAAGGTTGGTGTTATTTAACTGAAGTCACATCAGACCCAAAGAGCAAAGTGAAGACCGCTTGTAATTACCCTGGGGATTTGCTAGAATATAATCAACTGTTATGTAAAATTCAGGATAACACAAATGTTAGGTCTTGTCCAAGGGTCTTTGTTTTACAGAGCGGAAGTTCTCTGTTTCAACATGATTCACAGACAACATTGTCCTGGGGGTTGAACCAAACAGAAAAATATTATGGTCAAGGAGCCACTGTACCCAGCAGAATGATGACTGGCAACAAGCTGTGTACTTCAGATGTAGTTATTTGTTGTTGCTGAAGTTTTATACTATAAATCAAGTAAAGAAGTCACATGGAGAAGAACAAAGTTGCCCAGATTTCCTGTCCTGCCCTTCCATTTAACAATTAAACACTTCCTGAGAAGGTGCGTAAGTGAAAGTTCTCAGGACCTTAGGCTGTGGACTTGCTCCAAGGACTTCTTCCTTTGACCATTTTAAAACTTCCCTGGAAGGTCAAGGGTAAAGCGTGAACAACAAAATATTTGCCTCTAAAACTTCTTTTCTTTTTTTAACAATCAAAATTAAGATAGAAGAAGGGAAAATATCTTTATATAATCTTCTCTTCCTGTTTATTCTGAACTCTGGATCTAAAAGTGAGAGCTGACTAGAGAAGGTGTCAAAATAAATAAAGAGGATGAACCCAGCAGCTAAGCTCTTAAGAGGCAAGAGATTACTTAGAATTCAATTCTAGGGCATTAAAGGATTCCCAGAATTTAAGTCCAAGATAGCAGTATATCTATCTCTGTCTCCAACATAGAGAGAACACTTAACTTATTCCTGGAACATACTAACCTACTCTTTATTTTAGACAGTGGATCATGTTGATTTGGCAATCTGGCTGAAAAGACGTTTACTTCATGTAGAAAATAAAATGATTCTGAGAATTAGGGCTTGTCATACCTTTCTGATAAGATCCGAGAGTTCCATCTCGGCTTTCTGCTGGGCCAAATCAGATTTAACTTCAGAGTAAGTGTCATTGATGATGGCCAAAAACATATTCTGTTTGTAAATCAAAGAAATGTAGAGATTAAAGAAGAAACCTAAATATATTTTGTAAACAACAATCTAAAATTTGATACATTTGACCTTTTTTTAAAACAATCTGAGTGTTTCAAGAAGTCATCAATTAATAGTTTTGCTACCAAATTCTTCGAGAAAATTAGTTTTTCCTTTGTTATGGCAAATAAAAATGCAATATATATTCTTGCTTACAAATGCAATATTTTGCAGAAAGATACAAGAATTAAATAAAACAAAATATTAACATATTTACCTAGGAATGGTGGGGTTATTTTATTACTTTTGCTTATCTATATTCTGTACATTTTTCACTTGACATAAGTTATTAGAGGTGTAGAACTCTAAATAGGTTCTCAAATTTCAGTAGTCAAGCCAGACGAGTGGAGTCTATGCTCATTTCAAATACTGTTATAATAGTTGAGGTTCACAGAACATATTTTAAGAAGTTAAAAAGACCTCCGCAAACGGAAACATGGTAGGCCTAGCTGAGAAAGACGAAAAGCTCAGTGGAAAAGACATAGACTTTGAAGTCAAGCAAACTTGGGTTTCTACCATGGCACTGCCAAAACTATATTCATTCTTATATTCTTCATTCTAAAATTTGTTTTTGCATTTATAAAATGGGAAAAATAGTAGTATCTCCACTACAGATTCGTGGTAAGGATTAATGAGTTCATCTATGTAAAGTACTTAGGACAGAATCTAAGAGATGGCAGGTGCTACATTATTTATAGCAATTATCATTCAGTAGTGATTAGTCCATTTTCCTGACTTTTCCCTCCCCCACTATAATGATTTGCATTTCCAATGCCTGTTTCCAATGGATTTTCTCAAAGTATCACACCTAATTGATAAGGTCCTTCTTTAACATGCTCTTCCCTTTGGTTTTCCTTTTTAGCATGTAACTATGGTTTGTGACTATACAGTTGTGTATGTCTGTTTTCTGTACAAGTCCACAGAATCTTCATGAGAGGAGGGTTGGAATCTATTTTCCTTACTACTTGCATCCCCAGTACCCAGTATATTGCCTGAAATGTGGTGGCTCCATAAATATTTATTGATGACTGATGACTAAACAAATCAGAGCTCCATTATTTTAATGAGCTACTAAATCTCTATGAATTAAGGAGGAACATCATTTAGGATTCTGTATCAGAAATGAGAATACAAAAGACACAGACATTTGTGGCTTAATGCTCAATAATAAGGGCAGACAGCTGCAGTCAGTGGACGGTAACCCACCTTTGTTCTTCCCACACAGGCATCTAATATTTTGTCTCTTTTCCAAATGATCAATAACTAACACCTGCAAATGTCAGTTGAAATGAATTACAGTGTGCGTCTTCTGAAGAGATTTCAAAAACTGGGAAGTGGCTAGAATGGTTCTTGAAGGTGTGGGGAGAGGAGGTTCATGGCCTCTGTATTCTCTATCACTTGACTGAGGGGCAGACTTTGCATAGGAGGTCTTTCCCTGTCGATGGAGGGGCTTTTGCTCCTGGCTAAGCCAAGCCAGCTCACACCACTGTGGTTTCTTTAGTGGGGGCAATAGATAAGACTTGGCAGTCATCTCAGAACAGTGGCCAGCCCTGCCCTTGGCTTGCCATTTACAAGGAATAAAAAAAAAAAAAAAGATTCGTATTGACAGTAGCCTCCCCTCTCTCTGGAGGGTACACGGAGAACAATTCCTTTTTGTGAAGTAGTACAAATAAATATTTCAGTATGAAGACAAAAACTAAGAACTAAGAGCTTTTCATGTTCCAGGCATTGATCTGATAAAATGACTGAACAATTCAGGAGGCACTGCCTGTTAGAAGCCAACATTCAAATATGTCTGCGTTTGAGCATTTCCAATTGCCATGATCATGTCTCTCTCTGGCAGACTGATGTACAGAGAAAACTTAGTGGCCTGAAGTCAACTAAAGGGCTGCCGCAGAACACTCAATTCCTGATTTCTGTTCTCTTAGTAGAGACTCTGGGATTCAGATGCTTCAGAATTCAAAATATTACTAATGTAAGAGAGTGACAAAGGCTTACTCTTCTATTTTTTTCTTTAATATATGACAGAAAACAGAAACTTTTAAGAGGCTTAAGTTTAAAACTAATCATGATACATACAGACAGCAAGATATAAATGCTATTCCTGATTCTTTCAGTCCAATTAAAGTACATCTAATTCTCAATCAGTAAACACCATATACTTGACCACTAAATACCTGGACCAACTCTGGAGCTCCTACAACTGAATTAATGAATTTTATACAAAGGATCTTTACAAAATCAATTAAAAATGGAAACATTGCTTTTTCTTAAGATATAGTTAATATAAGGAAAATCTTAAGTGATAGTGTTTAAAATGAAAAATACCCACTGCCCAGATTAAGCTAAGTTAAAACTTAGTGGAGTGGACAAATAAATGTATAAATGCTAAGATGAAGAACAAAATGCCTTTCAAAAAACTTAATTAAAGGCCAAAATGCTAAAAACCTGAATTTGCACCAAACCAAGAGAATAAGAGGAATATTTTTGAAAATAAAATTTAAAACAACTTCCATTCATTGTGAGATTTAGTTTTAAATTAAAATTTGAAATATTCTTTGCATGCAGTCTCTAGATATATGAAATATGAATAAGTTAAAACAACCTATCTTGACCTCAACAAGCAACAATTCACTCAAAGGTCATTCCTGGTACCCTGCATCTGGCTTGCTCTGTCATTTTCTATTTTTAAAAAAGAAAAGAAGAAGGAGAAAAATGAAAAGTCATGCAAGCAAGTGATTATGAAAGTGCTGACATTTGTGTTAAAAAAAAAAGCGTGCAAGCATATTCTACTTCTTAGGCAAAGCACTATTTTAGGTAACTTTAAATCTGCACTTGATTTACCACTTTTTTTTCGAATTGAGTACATATATATATATATATAGATAGATAGATAGATGAAAGATCATGGAAAAGATAGTTGGTGAAGACTTAAAACTGTGAATGAATGAGAAATAAAACAAAACATGTTTTCTAATATCTACATTTTTCTACTTTCCAAGGTCTTTGAAAAACTGATAGAGAATAAAGTGTGAGAGAAAAGAAAAGATGATGATTATGATGGTGATTTATGAAATTTAAATCACCTCACTATAAACAAAAGTGTACATACCAAAAGAATGAAGAACATAAAGAACACAAATGTGGTGAAATAAATTGGTCCCAAAACTCGATTAGCTTCCTCAATCTCTGCGAAGTTGATATCACCCAAAATGATACGGAATTGAGTGAAGCTATAAAAACAAAACAAAACACAACACCACAATACAAAAACAAAGAGTGTCCAGCATTCTTTTGACATAACATTTCTCAGAAGATAATTTCATACTTTTGGACCTTTTTTTAAAAAATCAATGTGGAAAGCTGCCAAATAATGAAAACTGTCAACCCCTTGGGAAAACTTCTGCTACTTATATGAGCAATTAAAAACCTTCTAGAATAAAAATAATATGCTTTCATGCAAAATATGTTATTTTCATTTGGTTAAAAAGAAAACATAATAATTATTATTAGATGACTTATAAAGCAATTGACTATAAGAATTTAATACATAATCTAGGTAAAAGATGATAACTCTAAACCTTCACAATGGTCACCCTGCATATGAATTTTAAATCTCTTAGAAAAAAAGACTTTTGAAGCATAGCCAAAATTGTACGTGTTTGAAGATCCAATATTCTCAATGCACTTAAAGTGGGGAAAAGAACTGCTGTGTGTTGCCAGATGTTGGGTCTTAATCAGTAATTGTTTCCATTCCCAACTTTCATGAAACAGTAACATTATTTAGGCATTCTTGTACACAAAGCCCTATTAACTTTTATTATCATTACCATCATCTTTCCTAACTAACTCCTTTCTACAGGCCGTGGAAGTATGATACTGGCTACTTTACCTGTTTGTAACATAATATTTATGAATTTGGGGAAAAAACCTGAAAATTCCAGTATTGGTTTGTGCTTCTCCTCGAATATTAGAAATAGCTTTTTTTCTTAGAAAATAAGTTGAAGTTTAAATGTATGGCAACAATATTTGATAGGTATAAAAACAGAGGCAAATTGTGTCTTAAATGCTACCATCTGCATTTGGTGCTGAGAAGACCTCATTCTTTGGGACAGAGCTGGTTTATGATAACTGTTATTCTATATCTTACTATGGTACTTATAGGCTCTATTTTAAACATTAGCATTTCAGAAATTATTTTCATAATTGCATTGGTGGGTTAATGTTTTTGGAAAGAGAATTAATTCTCATTTTAAACCACTACTTTTAAATATTTGGTAGTTACACAGCCACCATGAAGGTTTCTTTAACCTTGAGAAGGCAGTGTTTTCTCTGATTCAATTTGTCTTCTTAAGTTCATATATACTTACATACACTCTTGGAAAGTACTGAAGTCATCAACTTGAGTGCCAAAGACAAGGTATGCCAACTGAGCATATGCTAAGAAAATAATGAAGAACATAATTGCAAAGCCAAAGAGGTCTTTGGCACACCGAGACATGGTTGTAGAGAGCTGACTCATGGTCCTGTTAAAGTTGATAAATTTGAAGAGCTGCAAAAGAGAGGGAAAATATACACAGGTGAATGGGTAATATACCACATTACCCATTACCACAAAATATGCCACAGATGAATGTGGTATATACATACAATCATATTCAGCCCTAAAAAGGAATAAAATTTTGATGCATGCTACAACATGAATGAACTTTGAAAACACTGTGCTAAGTGAAATAAGCCAGACACAAAAAGACAAATATTACATGATTCTACTTATATGAAGTACCTAGAATAGGGAAATTCACAGAGACAAAAAGGAGAATAGAGGTTACCAGGAGCTGCAGAAAGTGAGAAACAGGAAGTTACTGTTGAGTGGATAAAAAGGTTGCAGTGTAGATGATGAAAAAGTCCTGGAAATGCAGGGTGGTGATGGTTCACAACACTGTGAAGGTACTTAATACCACTGAATTATACACTTAAAAGTAGTTAAAATGGTAAACTTTTTACATATATTTTACAACAAAAAAGAGAGAGACAAGAAAGATTTTTTTTTTCCAAATCTCATTCATGAAGTATTTGTTGAGGGACTACCATATACCAGGTATTGTTCATGGAGCTGGGAATACACCAGTGAACAGAGCAAAGCCCCTGCCCTCATGTCACTTATAGTTCACATGTTGGTTAAAACACAGAGAAAACAAGTTTAATTATAATTAAAATGATCACTGACATTTTTCGCCTAGAAAGATTAAAAGAAAAAAGAAAAAACCCACAAATGAAAACTAGCTAGGTAAGGCACAGGGAGCGATACTCAATATTTTGCAATGACCTATAATGGAAAAGTAGAAGTTGCTTGGTAGTGTCCAACTCTGCAACCTCATGGACTGCAGCCTGCAAGGCTCCTCTGTCCATGGAATTCTCCAGGCCAGAATACCGGAGTGGGTAGCTGTTCCCTTCTCTAGGAATAATGGAAAAGAATCTGAAAATAGATATATATAACTGAATCACTTTGCTACACACTTGAAACTAACACAACATTGTAAGTTAACTAGAGTCCAAAAAAACAAAAAGAGTTAACCTAAAAAAAAACACTAGTTAAAAAAACTCCAGAAAATACTTATTGAATATTATTAACTATTATTTACTGCGCATCAACTGTGTGCCAGGCATTGGCCAGGGCTCAGAGTAAGGATCTGCACCAGGCTCTGACTGCATAGCCACATTGTGCATTTTTGTAGACAAAGCATTGAGGATGCTGCCCAAATTGGGCAGCTCCAGCCCAGAGGGCATGAATCCCACACAGTTCTAGCTAGGAGCCCTGGTGGAAGGACGTGGAGAGATCCATCAGAAATAGAGTTCTAATCCCTGCCTTAAAGAATTTAATGGCTCCCATGGTCTTGGGAATAAAATATTCATAGGTGAAGCACTAAATTCAACACTCAGCCTGAGGCACATACTGAAAGAAAATATCTAGCATTTTACTTAAAGACCTCTTATAAACTGTTTCTGGCCATAGCAAGACATTTTTGATGGTTGTTGAAATGTTACTTAATACAGCTCCCAGCAATATTTCTATGAGATTGTGATCATTGTTACAGTTTGTGATAATGGCTTGGTATGTTAGTGATGGTTTCTCTTGAACAAATATGTAAATGAAAAACTGGTATGAGAGACTCAGGACAAGGTCTAACCCCCCTGATAAATCTCAGGCCTTCCAGCTATGAATACCATCCAGAAAAATAAGTAACTGTTGGCAAGTACCTTCTATAAAGGTGCTCTTCAATAGAACGCTAAAATTTAAATTAAAATCTAGTCACTTGTGACTTAATAGCAGCTACTATCTGGATGGCACAATCACAGAACTTAACTGGTGACAGTCTGGCAGCTGTCTAAGACCTAAACTTTCCTGCATCTCCAGAATTGAGGCTTGCTGTATATGACATGACTTACGCTTTCACATATAAGGAAATGCACATGATGCTTTAGAAGGAAATGAGTCCTGAAGGCATTACTTGGAGGAGGTGTCCGTCCAATCTCAATTCTAGGTAAAGCCTCCCTAAGACCTCCACCTGGAAAGGAGGCAATGTTTCCAGAGAACAGATCCAATGCAGTCTCTCTCCCTTCCATTTTCCCACCCTTCCCCTTCTTAGTTCCTTTTCCTTCACCTGGTCACCCCACATCAGGAAAAATTCGAACCTGTCTCTGTCTCTGTATAGCCAGGGGCCCTAGGCCAGCAGAACACTGAAAAGGGCTCTTGATGCATTTATTAAACAAAACCTACAAAGACAGTTCTTGCAAGAGTGCAAGCAACCAGGAGCCTCATTCAACAGTGAGATAAAAGATGATGAGAGTCCTGCTCGTTTGTTTCAGTCATAATACATGGAGCAGCTCTGGCTACTTCAATCTGGCCACAGAAGCAAATGCAGGTCCTTCAACATTTTCTGTGACTCACACTAACAAAAAAAAGAAAAAAATATTAAAAATCTGAAGGTGAAATTTATAAATTACCTTAATCCAGACAAAAAACACTATGACAGCAGCTAGGTTGTTGAACTGTATTTGCCAGTATGCCAGATTCTCAAAGTTGGGGAAAGTATTTTGATCTTCTAGAAACTGTAGCAGAACTTCCACATTTGATGTTCTGTATATGTTAATTCCTATAGCGACCACTGATAGCTGGAAAACAAAAGAGCAAATAAAGATATTGTTACAGTGTTCTAGAAATCTATAGCTCATCTTAAAATGACTAGTTTATTTTCCTTCATCAGTGTATTAGTTCCAGGGCTCACCACTCTATTCACCCAATGGCATTAATAAAAGTCACTCACATACCCAGAGAGAAAGTGTTAAGCACTGCCATAAAAAGTTAAACAATACACTGCTTGCACTTCCTTAGAAACAGAATCTCAGTGAGAGCACGTGTATGTGTACACACCCGAGATGTCACTTTACTACAAATCACATAGGAAAGCCTTCTGTTTTTTCTGCCACTTTCCTTTTAAATCACTTACTCTTCTTTCTCAGGCCTCATCTCACTCTCTGTTTTCATTTGTGGGGCTATTTCCTCACTCTCTAGCCATCTATCCTTTCTTTTATTCAACAAATACATAGATATCTGCACATACAGCACTGTGGCAGGGATCAAGAGGAACAAACGGAAGTAAGAAGTGCAAACCTTGTCCTCAAGAAACTTAAACTCTGGTTCAAGAGCAAATAAACACACAGAGACAAATAGTACAAAAACCTTCGAAGAAGCTGACATCATACAACACAGGTGAAGGGTGAATCGAGACATATTAAAAGGAGTGCTCATGAGAAGAAAGGAGGAGCTTGGTCTTAGATGGTGGGAATGATGGGCAGAGGGCTTGAGAAGGCTTGCAGTGGGAAGATGAAGCCCAGAGGTCCCCCTTGCCTGTTTCTGTCCTTTAACTCACAACCATACAATTCTTCATATCTGCTTTGGTTCTGGGCTATAAAACCAGGTTTGAGGGGAATACTGGGCCCTACTTGCATCCATCATCACTGGACGAACATGTATGTGTGGAAAGTGCTAAGGGTCAACCATAAACGTCTGGCCCTCACATAGATCCTGAATCCATGGCAGCTGGGCTGTGGCAACTGCTGTGACCTTTGCTGTTCATTCTCTTTCTTTTCTCATGATCACAGACCACATCAGCCCTTCCGGGGGTGGCTGTCTTGGTGATTATCAGAGTCAAGACCTGACTGGCTGCCAGCCAGAGATGAAAAAGACCACCTCACCACCTTCCTTTTCTTCTCTGTAAAGGAGTTCCAGTCTTAACCTAGTATTTTTGGCACTGGTGGTAGGAATATTTCCTTTGAGCTTTTTAGAATACACAGATAAGTGTTTTCTGCATAGACTTAGCTGAAAGAAAATGGCTGACTGACTGAATCTAAAAATAACTTTTATCAACTCTCACCAGGTACCCTTTGTTTTAGCTCTGTCCGGGGCAAATGTTTATAAAAATACGGAAGTAAAGTGAAGTGAAAGTCACTTAGTCATGTCCGACTCTTTGTGACCCCATGGACTATACAGTCCATGGAATTCTCCAGGCCAGAACACTGGAGTGGGTAGCCGTTCTCTTCTTCAGGGATCTTCCCAACCCAGGGCTCCCGCAGTGCAGGCGGATTCTTTACCAGCTGAGCCACAAGGGAAGCCCATCAATATCATATCATAGAAAGACACTGAATTTCCTTGAGACTCTTCCTTCAAAATAGAGAATGAGAGAGTAAAGGGAAGAAAGAGAGTTTATGAGAGTTTGGGTCATTATGTGACTCCGAGTTTTGAGATTCTCATCTCTATCTACAGAAGAATTTTCTTTTTTGGATATAAGTTTCACAGAAAGCATGCCCTATTTCTACAGGGTCAGAAAAGGTTTCAAAGGAGAAGTAGAGTTCCAGTAACTGTTTCCTGAACTTATAAAAGCACACTGTCTGAATTGTTGTCTTGTCAGTACTAAGAGTTAAAAAAAATAACAACAATAGCATAGGGAAGCAAGTTTCCAAGAAAATACTTGCAAAATTCTGTGGCTGCTGAGCCAAAAAACTAGCCTCAATTTCCATGATATCAACAAGAAAGAAAATATTAAAACTCCTACACAAGCGATAATAAAGTGTTAGAATTCTGTTTGTATTTATTTTTATCCAAACATTTAAAATTCTATGATGTGTATGATTTTGCAAATGTACCTATTACACCACTACCAAAACAGAATAAACAAAACATTGTTTTCTCTCCCACATCTCATATGGCATGTCAAAGCCAAATATGAATTACTAAGCCATTCTTATTATTAGTGTGGCCAAACAACAGCCTATTGTAAATGCCTCTCCACTTCATATGCAGAAGGGTTACTCATGCAAAATGAGACAATTAGGAACACTGAAGCTGTTATTATGGAGGAGAACTTTAGACTCTCCTTCAGGAAGATAAAGACCCACAATAGTGAGGACAGCAGAGACTCTAACACGTTTCTATAACAGAGAGGAGATTTGGTGGTGTTCTCCAACCTACCACGATGATCACAACATCCAGACAATTCCAGAAACTCCTGAAATAGTGTAGCTTGTGAATGCGAATTTCCAATATCTCTTCCACCACATAGTAAAGGATAAAGAAACAAAAGATAATCTCACAGGCTGCCAGGAAGAAATCAAAAGTTGTAACATAGCGGATCAGCTTTACAGGCTGAAATTGCCAAGATGGAATCACACCTCCTGTTGCTGGGAATTCGATCAGTAACCTGCATTGTGATAAGAACAATTAAAACAATAACATCAATAACAACCCATGGATGCAGTCAGGGAAGAACATCATCTACTCTGTCCCGGCACTAGAAGGTAATAAAATTGCAACCACAAGTCCCCACAATTGTGTGTGTGTGCTCAATCCTGTCTCTTTGCAACCCCATGGACTGTAACCCACCAGGCTCCTTTGTCCATGGGATTTTCCAAGCAAGAATACTGGTGTGGGTTGCCATTTCCTACTCCAAGGGATCTTCCCAACCCAGGGATCAAACCTGCAACTCTTGCATCTCCTGCATAGGCAAGTGGGATCTTTATCATTAGCATCACCTGGGAAACCCTAGTCATCCTAGTTTGGGATGACCACCACAAGTCACTCCAAACAAGTGACAAAATGTTCTTATCACAACCAGTAACCCCCTCCTTGTAGAATTCTGTGTCACAAGAAGAACAAATCTTGTCTTCCCAAATCCTCCCAGACCAAAGAGATTATTTCTCCTCAGTCTCCCATTTACCTTTCTGGTATTCATACTACTCAGAATGCTGTATAATTGTTTTTTAAATGCAGAAATTAATCAAACAAACCTTTCTCAGATTTCTATTAAATGTAAGTCATTCAACTGGGCAATGAAGAACATAAGAAGTTTGTGTCATCTTTCAAAACACCTATGGCCCAGCTGAGAAGTAGGATGTCTATTTTGTATACAGATAAAGACAGGGACCGAGTTTCTCATTCATGCATCTGGTGAATCAGCATCAAATATTTGCCTAGGAAAACCTTTCTGCTATTGGAACTTCCTAGAACCTTATAGTGAATTGGTGCTTAGTAAATGTCTGATTGTCTGAAACAGTAACATATGTTTTTACATTCACACTGAAGGCCCTGGTCTTTTAATGCTTTATCATAATTGAAATGAAGATGCTTCTTGCCAAATTCACCTTTGCAGGTGTCACAGTGAGAAGGTTAAATGATTCACTTAATGGTATAATTTCCCTTCACACTAGAAATAGACTCTCCAGACCCTTAACTTTAAGATTTTTTAAAAGACCTCCAGTCAGCTATTAGGCATAGCTATCTCTCCCATTACAGGATGGACAGGACAGGACCTCTAGAACCTGAGTATCTAAGGCTTAAGCATGAGCAACACTCAAGTACATGCAGTGACTATAGCAAATTAGAATTGGTCAAAGAAGCATGAAACACTTTCCTTCCTTCGTAGTATCAGTATCCTGTTTCCTTCCTATTTTATGTGCTAGAGAACAGGGGTGAGAACCACAAACCAGAGAGCAATACTGAAATGAAGAGCCTTGTGACAGCCTCAGTGTAAACTCACAAGGGCAAGAAGTGGCCTCTGTGTGCTGAGTCATCTCTCTCTGCCCGTTGTGGTTCTGCATGGTCAACCCCTCCAGACACTGAGGCAACAATGCAGAAAAATGAAGCAACTGTCTTGCCAATATTCACTCTTGAAGTATGGGGAGGAAGTGAGACATAGTCATTTATACTTTCTATTTATATGTTATTTCCTTAAATGTCAACCAGAGTTGCTTGCTTGTGTTTATCCTCTTTCTGTGTTCACTAGAATTATTAGGAGATGTTCAATAATAATTGCAGCAAATGTTCATTCCTTTCTAGTAATATCTATTACTTGATTTAATGTAAATCACAATGTGATTTAATGTGATAAAAGTTGTTAGATATAAAGACTGGGAAAATCCACTTGGCTATATAATGTAGAGTTTGAGTTTAGTCTCAAAAATAAAGCTACTACAACAATTTATCCTTATGATGTGGTGGGTAAACATATGTACACGGCTTCCCAGATGGCACAGTGGTAAAAATCTGCCTCCCAAGGCAGGAGACTCAAGACATGTGGGTCGACCTCTGGGTTGGGAAGATCCCCTGAAGTAGGAAATGGCAACCTGCTCCAGTATTCTTGCCTGGAAAATCCCAAGGACAGAGGAGCCTGGTGGGGTCGCAAGAGTCGGACACAGCTGAGTGATTGAGCACACAACACAAACAAACGTATGCGCAAGTAATTCATGTTGGCAGTGTGTGGATGTTGCCACCATATTCACAAGGAGGATTAAAGTGGGTGGATGCTGAATCTCCAGAGTTATGCTTTTTTATAGCACACTACCTTCTAACATGTTATTTGTTTCTTTTGTTTATAGTTTATCATTGATTATCTCTTCCTGATTGAATGCAAACTCTACAAGGACAGGGAAGTTTATTCTGTTCACTGATGCAGGCCAAAAGACTTGAACAGTGCCTGGCATATACTAAGTGTCTAATAAAGGTTTATTGAATGAATGGATGAATGAGAGGTCCAAACAAGCCAGTGAGATCTTTTGTTAGTTTCCTCACTATCAGCAGAGTGGTCATGATGGTGACATCGCAGAATGGGTAGAAGGAACTTTATGTGTCTTTGGTAAATCTTTTTAAGTGTGAGCAGATACCTAGGTATCCTGCTCAACCCAGGCATAGCCCTTGACTACTGTGCTTATGTTCTGGTAGCAGGTGCATCGTATGAGAGTGGGAAACTCAGGAAAGTGAGACAAGGTTTGATGCCAGGGCTCCTTGCTAACACAGCATCTTCATAATGGGAAAGGATAAATGCTGGCAAAACACAGTGCTTTATCTGAGAAAGTTCCAGCTTTGGGATGAACTTGGACCAGACTTAAGGTTCTTCCTAACTTGCAATATTCAGGGAACCTAACTCCTTTCCCCTAAATGTCCCCATCCCAATAAGCTTTTGGTTTTCATCCCTCCTTGTTATCAGTTCTGATCCTTGACACTCGCATGCAGACAACTGCAGGCAATGGTTTTCTGACTTAAAATCCAGACTAGGATGTATTTACAAATACACAAGCAGAAGGAATGAGTGCCCTTTATACACACCTGATCACGCAGAACAGGTTAATATTGGCGTTGTACACTGAAAAGTCAATAAAAATCGCTCTGGTTCCTCGGTCCAGCCAGACATTTTTCTTGAGGTTAGCAACTTGAGCGGCTGTTTCCTCTCTCGTTCTTGACAAATCCAGGTAATAACCAGCTCCACTATAAGTTGCAATCATTCCCCAGTGGCTGCTCCCATTCAAGTCTTTTTCACTTGTGTAGATCCAACTAATTAAAAAACAAAACAAACAGGTAAAATCAATGGAACACTTGGAGCAATTACAGAGACAACTGGTTCCTGGTAAGACAGAATAGGTATTGATAAAAAATAAATGCAAGTCTCATCAAGCTGGGTAATGTGCTTTCCACTGCGCTTTGTGTTTTCTTACATAATTCTGGCATAGCTATTATCCCCCTTCTAGGAATAAGGGCCCTAAGGCTTAGTGAGGTCAGCTCTGTCTCAAATGTTTTTATAGTAAAGTCAGAAACCTACCCCAGAACTGTCTGTATTCAGAGGTCTATTCTTTCAGTCCTCAGCTGATACGGTTGCCTTCCCAGGGTAACTTTGGGACTAGATGACCCAAGGCCTCCCAAAAATTGCAGCCAAAACAGGTACAAATTCATCAAATGCCACTGGCAGCCACCGAACTAAGTGAGTCTCCACAGAGCATTGGGAATTTAATCCACAGACATTTACAGAGGCTCTCAGGAAGCAGATGATCCTTTGGCATTAATGAGGATAGAAAGATGAACCAAGATCCTTTCTCTCCCAAATTTATAATAAGTAGGGAGAGAAAAGTTGTAATTAAATCATGAAAATACAAGGTAGCAAATAATAAGAACCAAAGAAGAAGCATAGAGAGATTGCTTGGACCAAGGCTAGCTGAGGGAAGCTAGCCTTCTTTGAAGCTTCAATGATGAAGAGAAACATGAATGAGAGAGGGATTTGGGAAGAAAACATGTTGAACATAGGCTGTGGAAGGTAAGCAGGATTCAGACTTACACAGGGAGATGGGGATGGTATTTTTAAGCCTAAGCCTGGCAGAACCAAGGAAGTACAAGGTATCCGCTAGTAGTTTGGTTTGGCTCTCATATGATGAAGAAGAGAAGGCTGAAAGATAGACTGTGGTCAGGTAGTGAGGGGCAGGCCTCACAGGGTCACCAAAGAGAAGGTTTCTGGGAGGCACAGAACAGGGTTACTCTGGGGGCTGAGGTGAGGACAAGCCTGAAGTGGTGAGGAACAGAGAATTCATGGGCAGAAAAGAGTCAATATAGTGGGTCTTAGACCACCTTTTCTTAAGAAGCCCTACTTGCCAGGTTGGTCCTCAGTTGGTATATGGAATTTAGGTGATAAATAGCTCCCTACACTGATAAAAAACTTTCTCTGACCAGAAACAGTGGCTTGAGGTACCAAGGCTTCTATACAAACAATATGGCTTATGCCGCATGCCTGCTTTCCTTCTGGGAGTCTGGGATTTGAGGATGTGCCAGGCAGAGCCTGCCTATGTGACCACTACCCAGTAAAATAGGGCAGGCACCAAGTCTCTGATGAGCATCTTGAACAGACAACGTTTCCTATGAGTTGTCACATTGTGTTCCTGGAGGAAGGATGCATGCCCCGCGCAACTCCGCTGGGAGAGGACCTTCACAGACTGCACCTGGTTTCCTCCAGACTCGGCCCCATGTGCCTATCCCTTTCTCTGCTTTTCCATCTATCCTTTCATTGCAATAAACCTCAGCTGTGAATAGAAGCTGAATCCAGGGAGCTCTTCAAGCAGCTTGTTGAACCTGGGGGTGGTCCCGGGGACCCCGACACAGCTGAGTCAGCTGTCCCTACAAGAACCAAGAGGTGACGAGGCCTGAACTAGGTGGGAAGGAAAAGGCAGAACTGACACAGGGCCATGGCAGTCAACAGAACCTGGCACTGATCTGGAAGTTGGGGCAAGTGAGAGGAGACCTCTGAAAAATGACTTGAGTCTCTTTTTGGGCAATTCAAAGATGGTGGTGCCACGTACAGGAGGGCGCTCAGATCCAACAAGAAAGTGATGAGTTCAGTTTGGGGCATTTTGAACTATGGGAGCTACAGGGGGCATGCAGACTCATCTTCTATCACTCGAACGTTAGCAGTGCCAAGACACGCGTATGCTTCTGTTGTGTTTACTGCTGCTTTTTCACTCCAGCCAGCACCAAGGGCATTTCTAGAAAAGGGAGAATTCACTGGGAACATGCCTGGCTCATGTTAACACTCAGTATATTTGTTGAAGAAACAATGAATCATCAAACAGAGATGAGAATGGGAGCCATCTGAATATCAGAGAGAGTATAAAGAAAGAAAAGATAGATATCTGAATACAGAACCTGGAAATAAGAGAGAGGAAGGGGGTTGTAGAATTAAGAGAAACTCTATTTCGCTATCACTCACCAAAGTCAAATGAACAAGCAATCAAGAAGACCGTATCCTGCAGAGGGGTTGATGAGGATTAGGCTGGTAATGGATCAGTGGATCAGCAAATAGAACAAACCCACTAGTAGCTTCCAAGAGAGGTGTCAAAAAGCAAAGGCTTAAGCGTTAAGGTGTGAATCAATGGTAATGAAAAGGAGGAAGCTGTGAAGACTCTTCTTTCAAGAAGTATGGTGATGAAGGGAAGGGGAAATGGGAATGACTCAGATTCTGGCAGGACCAGGGATGGTTTAGAAACACACACAGGAAGGATCCCTTCATTAGCCCACCCTGCATAGAAAATCACTAATTCACTGTGTATCCAACAGGTAGTTACTGAACATTCTGGATGTTCTAGGTACTGTTCGAAGCTTTGGAAATAGACTGGTTGAACAAAACAGGGTCCCTGCCACCAGGAAGCTGGAATTCTGACCGAAAGCTTTTAGGGCAACAAGCAGCGAGCAGGGGAACACAATTAACATGGAAGAAGCGCTGTGGTGTCACAGAAGAAACACGGGCTTTGGAGTCGAGCTGGATTCCGTTTACCAGCATGATTCCATCTACTAGCAGAAACGCTTTGGGTAAGTGAGCCTCCATCTTCTCATCTATAAAGTGGAGCTGACACCTATTTCAAAGTTGTTCTGTGAAAAGTAAAGGAAATAATGCAGGAATTCACTTTTTCACTAGCATCTGGCATGGACTAGAGGCTGCATACATCTCTCTGACCAATGACATGAAATAAAATATGAGATAAGAAAAAATAAATAAATAAATAAATAATATGAGATAAGGAGCCACAGTTTAAACACATGCTTGTGCTTTGTGGGAACTAGAAAATGGAGCATTAGAGAACAAACTCATTTGTCACCACCTGGAAAAATTGTGTTCTGAGGATTCAGTCCCTTTTCTCTAAATTGGATGTGTAGTGAGTTTGTTTCTTACAGGCCGGGGCATTAAAGAGGGTGTGCACTGGATAACAAAGAACCTGGTTATCGAAAAGGTGTTTGCCCTCGTATGTGTCAACTAATATGGATTCTGGTGTCTTAGTTCCCAACAAAGGGATCTAGATAAACTGAAAGAGTTTAATAAAGCTTAGGAGAAAATTCTAACCATAGTGACTTACCTAGGGCCCATGACCCAAGAGATCCACCTTGGGACAGCCCAAGAGCTCTTCTCACTTTTTATAATAATTCTAGAAATAATGACTGCATTCCCTTAATAAACAAGATGTTTTAAGTATGGTTATCAAAGAGCACTTAAAAATCCCTGCAAATACACACAACGTAGATATGTACTCAAAATCATAAACACACATTTGAGGACAGGTTTTAAACCAGACAGAAAAACTGCCTCAAAAACTTATTATACACTTTAGATAATTGTACTCTGAACACAAATTTGTTTCTAACAGCTAATAAAAAAGAATTTCTGTATCAAAAGAACTTCCTAGTAACAACCTAGTGAACCATGGCACTGGAACTATAAACATAGGATCCCGGCATCTTAAAAGAAACCTCTGAAGGCCCAGGTAGCTTTGTGCCTGTGGGGATGCGGTCAATAATTAACTCTTTTGAAAAATATGTATGTGGAAGCTGAAGCATGTAAAAAGTAAAGAATACTTAGGAAGCCAAAGTTTGGCCACAGCCTTAAACAGAAGCATTAAAGGCATATTCTCCTTGGTGAAGGGGTCAGAGAATGACGGAATGAATGTCCATGAGAAGCCAGGGCCCAGGTCCACAGCCACAGACACTTACGCAGTTCCATTTCTAGGACCGAATGGAGCCCGGTCTTCACTGCTGACGGAGTAGACATCATAGCACTCTTTAATCTCATCTCTCAAGTCCAGGGGGATGGAACAGGATCCATTTCTGACTCTGAGTTGCCGTATACGTGGTACCCCTAACAGGAGGTTCTCATAGTAGATGAAGCTTCGGTTGTCGGCTTCCGTTTTGTTGCTGGGCTCCATCTTCCAGTACAGCCCATCCAACAAGGCGCCTTCTGCGAACTGAAAGCAAAGGCAATGTTTTTGAAAAGCTTCAAGCTCAGAGGCTGCCTTGTTTCTTCCTGGAATGCTTGTGTGACCCACAGTTTGACAACTCTGTGAACAGGGTAGAGTGACAAGGGTGGGTTTTGCTGTCAGAAAAACTGGATCTTGCTCCAATCGTGCTCCACCATTTAACTGCTAGCTGCGAGGACTTGAGCGTCTATGATATCTATCTTTTTTTTAGTTTTATTTTTTGGCAACATCACGTGGCATGAGGGATCTTAGTTCCTTGACCAGGGATCAGACTTGTGCACCCTGCAGTGGAAGTGTGAAGCCCCAACCACTGGACTGCCAGGAAAATCCCTGTAATATCTACCTTTTGTGTGGTTGCTATACCTGGCAGAGAGGGCACTTCATAAAAAATAACTTGGATTTTTACCCTAGTTCTTAAGGCTGGGGGGATGGTGTCATTTGCATAAATCCATAACCATGATCAATTTCACTTTCCCTTATTAAAACCGCATCCCACACAGTAATCATGGTTCATTATCATTGCAGAGAAAAAAGACTCGCTTTGATTACCAGTCTGCTCTCTGGTGGATCTTTAAATTGTCTGGAGTTTTCCGTCATATTGTGAACTCTCTAACCCCCCACCACCTCTTCCTCCTCTCCGTTTTTAGAGTTTGGCATTCATCATCACAGAACTGTGTATATGTGAGATAGCTCTTATTGGTTTGCCTCTAGGGATGACAAACCCAGCTGTTTCTGTGTCTTATCTTTATCAGATGGTCAACTGAGATGGAATGCTTTGCTTTCTTGAGATGGGGAAGATTTATATATGTGATTTTTTGATTCCAAGAATTTTTAGGCATTATTTAGTGTACTCTGGTTCTTGTGATCCAGTTCCTCTATCTTTAAAATAACAGCTGTGACGCCAGAGTTTAAGAAGAATGCTAGAAACTATTTCCCCAGGAGGTAACAAGCATTTTCTCTCCAAATTCCCTGCCCATATTAGATTCTGTGTATATCTTTGAGATCAGTTTAGTATTTTTCCTATGCTATCACTCATTGCTTATCATCTAATGTTAATGTTGGAATCTGTGACAATTTGGGGAGGGGCTGGATTGAATTTTACATTAGAGATCTTTGAAAGAATGTGCCTGCTTTGTACTAGGCACATGAATCCCTGTTCAGGGGTACATGCCACCATCAACAAAAGAGACAAAACAGAAGTAAAACAAGACAAAACAATCAAATTCTGCCCTCATGGGCCTTATATCCTAGGAGATACTCAACAGATATTTACTGCATCATGAATGACTGAATGAATGACAACCTAGGGTGAGGAAGTCCACACTAGAGAGAAATCCATTCTTCTTACTTCTTAGCCACATGTAAGCACTCTGCATGTTAGTTTCTTCATGTACAATCTGGGACATGATTTTTGTACCTATCTTATTAGGTTACAATGGGGGTTAAATAAGGTAAGGTATGAGACAAGGTACATGCAAGGTTCTCAATGGAAGTGCTAACAACTCACCATAACTTACAGCATCTCACCCAGTGTTAAGTGCATAGCAGGATCTGTAGACACCACTGAATTGAATTTATGAAGCCAAATGAACAATTTTCAATGATAAAGAGGTCATTTGCAAATACCTTCCAGAAGTCTTCCATTGAAGAAAGAGTTTTAAAGTTAGTTTTCTCCGTTTTGGACACTGGGGTGTCCAGGAAGAGTTGTGACATGATCCGGGTGTAGTAGTACACACTGGAGCTCATCATCCCATAGGTCACTGGAAGACAGAATGAGCCAAATGAACTGTGCAAAGGACCCGGCACGCTCACTCACACCATCCCAGTGGACACGCTGATAGCCATCCTGCCTTCCTTCCCTTCATCATTCCTCCAGGGTTCCTCCCCAGTTCTCTGGCTTATAAAAGAAATAAATTAACATTGGCTTATGTGAAACAGAACTGGCTTACTACTGAATATCAGATTAAGATCGGGCATCTCTGATCTTGACACATGGGACTTCCAGCATGCCCTGCAACTTCACTTCCCACCACCTCCCAGAACACTTTCCACACCAGTGAGCCTGATGCCCCCAGCAGAGGCCACCTGGAGCTTATCCCCTGCTGTGGGCTGCTGCTCACTCTCTCCACAATAGGATGGGCAGGCCCTTTGTTCTCAGATCAATTCTCCATTCTTCTCTGCTTTACTCTGCGCCTCACGGCTGAACCCTACAGACCGCACCACTGGGCTCCCCTGCCTTCAGTCAACAGGAGGCAGGACAGGGCTCCTGGGGGCCCAGGAGTTGGGTTTCCCCCTCCGCCCTCTCCCTCACTACCTGGATGCAGTTTGGCAGGACCCTCTAACTGTGGCCACAGCTGCTGGGAGCATCTCTTCTCCAGTCACACTGGCCTCACGCCATGCCATTCCCTCTCCTGTCTCTTCAGGCCTGGAGCTGGGAATCCTTCCCAGCACCTCATGTCCCCTTGCTGACTCTTGTAACCTTGCCACACCTCTGTAAACAGTCCCTCTGTTAAACTTTCTTTAACCACTTGTGTCTCCCATGTCTTTCCTTCTGGGATGCTGACTAACACAGACACATCTGCCTCCCACCCACCCACCAGATCTTATACGGCACACTCTAAACTCAAGCCACAGCCCTGCCATGAAGACTTGCTGATCTTACCAGCTCATTCTGAATGGTCTTGGAGAAAGGTGGGGAGATCATACTCAGTCTGAGTAGGTCACAGGAGATTAGGATTTGAATCTGATCTGTACAAATCAGGTCTGTGACCTGTACAAGTCGCTTGTGACCTGTACAAGTAGCTTAACTTTCTAAGCCTCAGTTTCCTCTTTTATAAGATGGAGATAATGAGTTATCTCATGGGAGTTTTTGGTACTTAAAAAAAAAATTACTAAAATTTATCCAGTACCGTGGTTGACACTTAAGAGTCTAGTAATGGTGGTTCTTCCTGCCTAACCAAACCGCTACAACAAATCTATTCAAAATCTCAACATTTTAATGAGTGCTGTCTTGTGCTGAACTCTAATGACTACAGGTATAATACGCTCTAATACCTAAGCATGCCTATATACTTCAAGAAAAAGGAAATACTTCTTATGTTTCCTTTGATCACAGAGGTTTTATACGTCTTCTGACCACAGTCCTCAACACTCAGGAAGTGATGAATACTTAGTTGACTCTGTAATAATCTTCGGGACAGCATAAAATGCCTTTTAAAATCTCACAGTTGGTGATTTGGGGTTTAAATGGTATTTAGTAAAATCTTTCCCTCACCTAGGTCCCTTTCCCATCCAAGCATAACAGAGAATTAAAAGAGGAGTGGATAACAGTGATCCAAACATGAGTGAGTCTGCAAGGCCAACTCGAGCAGTCAGTGGGGCAACAACCACGTGTGCTGTATCCAGACGGGTAGGGACATCTTCCAGTCCCTTCCCTTAGTCTCCCTCCGCGTCATCCTATGACCCACTAATTAGGACAAGAATACTCCTCTTTCAGTGTTACATGGCTTGCCACCTCTTAAAACCACATTGGACCAGAGTTACAGCTTTGGACTTTTAATCCACTCACATTGATAGGACAAGATATTGTACATGAAGATGAGCAACATGTGATCTCTGTCCTCAAGGAGAGGCGCTCATGGTATCCCCAAGGGGTACACTGCCTCCCAGCCCCACACAGGGGTGGACAAAGTACAGCGCACTCTACAAAGGCCTTCAGATCCAAAGCAGATACTGCACTCACGAGGAGGTGTGAAGGCTCCCCAAAGTCAACTAAACGATTATTAAACTGATTTTTTTTCAGTTTACTTGAAATCACAATTTGCTTTGGACTGGCTGGATAAGGTAGATCATGCTTAAATTTTTTACATATGGGTTTTTTGGTTGTTGAAAAAGAATTATGACAAACTATTTAAATGTTTTTATTTATAAATATCGTGTATATATATGTATATAGATATGTATATATTTTAGCCATTGATTTTTAAATGTATCTCCTTAATTGGCCTCTATTTTAAATAGACTGCTTTTGAAATTCTCAGGACCTGTATGGAATCTAAGTGATTCTTGGCTACGCAGCGCCACCTGCTGGACATGCAGAGGAACAAGCCCACCCAGCACTGAAGGGGATGATGATTCTTAGACCTTGAAGCAGCAAACAGGAACTCAGCCCCTCCCTTGTGCCAGGCAGTGGGCTGGTTATCTTCAAGAGACAGCTCCACACTCTCCAGGGGTGAGCTGCACCCTAAGTCTACCTAGGCTGTAGCTAAAGGACATCTGGGATTTGGAGTTAGAATGATTTGGGTGTGACTTTCAGATTTGCTTCACCCTTAAGTCAGCCTCTATGTTCTTAATTGTGGGTTTCAGTATCTTGGGATCTTGGGACAAGTATTAAACTTTACTGAGCTTGAGTTTTATTATAGAGAAAATAGGAATAACAACATCTAGGGCTTTTTGTGTAGTTTACCTGGAATAATGCATGTTAACACACATTTTGCATACTGTTAAATATAACAGAAATGTAAGGCTGTTAACATCATTTCTCCTTTCAGTTTCTGATAGGGAAAGCCCACATGGAAGGTAACATATGCTCTTTAAGTGAACTGAATTGTAAAGAAAAAAAGTTATAGCCTGAAACAACCATAAATGAGGCTCAGAAAAGAGAGGAGAATATTTTAAAATATAAGGTAAAGAACACATATAAACCCCATGTACATGCATCTTTTTCTGCCATTTAGTCCTTAATTCTCAAATTCAATTTTCTAAGAAATAAGCCAGAATAAAAAATATTATCACGATATCACCAAATAATCAGCCTGTAAACTAACTGAATCTCTCTTAAAACATGGCCGCATTTCAAAATAAGCTACAAATACCATTTTATTCTTAATATGGTTGAAACAATATTGGCTCAAATACTAACAACTATATAAAGGGGATTGCACTGTATAAACTTCAAATCAGTGTAATAAAAAGCAAAGAGAAAATTTCCAATGTAACAACAACAACAAGAAAAGAAAATGGAAAGTAATGGGAAAGCATTAAAAGAGGAAAAATAGGATGGCAGAAATATTGGACAAAAGCATGAAATGTGAAGAGGTTAAACTTACTAGATGACAAAGTCTTAAATGTTAATTAAAAATTTTAAATATATCTTTAGAATTTTTATGAGAACCATTCAAAATGAATTAAAAAATAAAGGAGTGAGAAAATATACATTATATATACAAAAGGTATAAAGTGGTACAATTATCTGATAAGGAGATTATGAGTACTGAGTTAAAGTGAAAGATTATTTTATGTTGATAATTGATACTTTAGACAATAATTTAACTACAGTGAACTTTTATGTACTGAATAACAATACCAAGACACATAAGATACAATATCAAGAGACATAGAAGGGAATTACTAAAACCACAATAGTAGTTGGAAACTTAAATTTTTCTCTCTCAAACTTTGACAGAGAAAAAAAAAAGATAAAAATGATCAAGGGATAGTAGCGGTTTTAACAGGATAGATTACCTAATGTATGGGCTTCCCTGGAGTTCAGACAGTTAAGAATCCACCTGCAATGTAGGAGACCTGGGTTTGATCCCTAGGTTGGGCAGATCCCCTGGAGAAGGGAATGGTTACCCACTCCAGTATTCTTGCCAGGAGAATTCCTAATGTATATATATCAAACTTAATACTGTGTCAAAGGAGATCACTCACATTTTTTTTGAATCTCCATGGAACATTTAAGAATATTCTAGGCCACAAAGAAAACACCTGCAAGTCCTTAAAATTAAAGATCAACCAATCAAAAAATGGGCCAAAGAACTAAACAGACATTTCTCCAAAGAAGACATACAGATGGCTAACAAACACATGAAAAGATGCTCAACATCATTCATTATCAGAGAAATGCAAATCAAAACCACAATGAGGTACCATTACACGCCAGTCAGGATGGCTGCTATCCAAAAGTCTACAAGCAATAAATGCTGGAGAGGGTGTGGAGAAAAGGGAACCCTCTTACACTGTTGCTGGGAATGCAAACTAGTACAGCCGCTATGGAGAACAGTGTGGAGATTTCTTAAAACTGGAAATAGAACTGCCATATGACCCAGCAATCCCACTTCTGGGCATACACACCGAGGAAACCAGATCTGAAAGAGACACGTGCACCCCAATGTTCATCGCAGCACTGTTTATAATAGCCAGGACATGGAAGCAACCTAGATGCCCATCAGCAGACCAATGGATAAGAAAGCTGTGGTACATATACACCATGGAATATTACTCAGCCATTAAAAAGAATTCATTTGAATCAGTTCTAATGAGATGGATGAAACTGGAGCCCATTATACAAAGTGAAGTAAGCCAGAAAGATAAAGACCAATACAGTACCTAACGCATATATATGGAATTTAGAAAGATGGTAATGATAACCATATATGCAAAACAGAAAAAGAGACACAGATGTACAGAACAGACTTTTGGACTCTGTGGGAGAAGGCGAGGGTGGGATGTTTCGAGAGAACAGCATCGAAACATGTATATTATCTAGGGTGAAACAGATCACCAGCCCAGGTTGGGTGCATGAGACAAGTGCTCGGGCCTGGTGCACTGGGATGACCCAGAGGGATCGGGTAGAGATGGAGGTGGGAGGGGGGATAGGGATGGGGAACACATGTAAATCCATGGCTGATTCATGTCAATGTATGGCAAAAACCACTACAATGTTGTAAAGTAATTAGCCTCCAACTAATAAAAATAA